TGTCTTATTTTTGATAGTTTGTCATATTTCCAAGATGTAAGTCTCTTGACCTGCTTCCAATCTAATTTAATATCCAGAGTTAGTGATACAATGCCATGAATTAGGGATGGGCAACTTGGGGCCTTCTAGATATTTTGGCCGAATCTGTCTCTAATCTCTCCAGCCAAACATGCATTAACAAGAGGCACAATCCAAAGCCTCCAGGATGGGTGGGTGGGCGTTCTGAGCCCTGTAGCTCCCTATATGCAGAACATCCCATTTTACTGCATCACAGAAATAATCAGCCTGCATAGGAAGATTCAGCATTGCATGTGTGGAGTATCTGCTAGTGCAGAAGAGAAATATACAGCTCCTTTGTGTGGAGCTTCCGTGTATCTATTAGAGCAGCTGCATCATATACAGGACACATGGCTAACACACACAGAAACCATTATGTGTACTCTACTCTATGTTGGTAGGGCATTCACAAAATATTCAAATGGCCCTGGGCAGCAGAATGAATGAATGAATTCAAACAAGACAAGACACGGTTTAAGGAACTAAAAATAAGGTGTGGCAACCCCTTTCAGTGCACAGTGAGGCTGGCTCCTGGCTGGGCCAGGATCAGATTTATATATGGTATACTGGTCCTCAAACAGAAGGGAAAGCAAAACTAGGACTGTGATTATTCTGTCTCCTTGAAGAACATCAGACCAAGGGCCCATCTGGTCCAGCATCCTGTTCACCCAGGGGCCAAGCAGCTGCCCATGAAACCCACAAACAGGGCAGCAGCACCATCCTGCCCAAGTTCCCTGCACGGGACGCCCAGACCCACACTTGCTCCTTAGTGAAACCGGATGTTCAACAAGCGGCTCCGAATCAGATTTTTCCCAACCTGAAATGGGGCTGATATGCAGTACAGAGCGCAAGTGAAGGGGCTACAGTTACCCCAGCAAAGGACAACTGAAATATTGATATATCAGCTCTCTTTGGGTATATATCCTAAAAACAGTGTCCTTTCAGGTGTACTCATTTTTGCTAAATATAAACAAACATCATAAAATAGTATATATTGTTACGGTCTTCATATTTTTACAAATATTCCAGTACAATAATTTCCACATGAAGCTTTACAAGTGTTTGAACAGAACACTTAAACAATCTTGTGTTTTTAATATGATTTCCACCTAAGAAATGACATTAAAAAAAACTTTATATATATTTATACTGCATCTAATTGACACAGAATAGTAAATATGAGATATGAGTCTGCGAGCTTATTGAAAGAAAATGTGTGCTGGAGGGCCAAAATGATTCAAACATACAGTCCTTGCTAAATCTGGTAACATTATTTAGAGCACTCAAAAATTTCCCAGAAAACTTTCTGTTTCCACTATTCCAGAAAATCCGCATCAGTGCCCCATCCACTAATCTCCACAGCACAGCACAGTAGGTTTGCTATTCCATCTTTTTAGAATACCACATTCACTCACTTTCACCCATTCACAGGGCTGCTTCCATGGTCATGTTCACACATCACTCTGACCCATCCTCCAAATTAGCTACACCATGTGGGTTGTTTGCTGAACAACTCTCCGTGCACGGACTTATTGCAGCTTGTCCTCCCCTTCCTCCCCACCTTCGTCTCCAGCCAGATCCAATAAGTATCCCAGTGTCCTTCATGTCCCATCCTTGCCCCGATCATTACCCATTTTTGTTTACCAACCGTTTGTGGGGTTGTTTCGAACTTTAAAAATGTGCGATTGGGGAGCCACATCTCCACAAAAAAATTGGCCCATGAAAATGGCACGGCTGTGTTCATAAGTCTTTTAAAATTGGTTTTTCACAAGTACACTGTTACTGCTCATCGATATATGCAGACTTACCTAGTCAACTTCCTGCATGTTTCAGCTGTCCAAGAAGTAGGAAAATGGAATGGGTAACATATACAGAAACAGACAAAACAAGACTGTATACACACTAATTTGGATTCAGCAAATTAGGACTAGCCTTGAACTTCCTATTCTAGATTAGCTGGAGATTCAGGGAAGTGTCAAAAAGATAGACAACATTAAGAAGTGTCAGTTAGAAATCAAAAGGATTACATTGCTAAAAGGTAAATACCTTTTTGGTGCACCAGTTTTACCACTTTTACTATTTTGCCCATGCTTTCCCACTGACAGCTGGGCAAATAACAGCGTTCAAGCATTCACAATGTAGCCTATTTGCAGTCTAATCTTCTCAATCTGTTATCCTTTAGTAGCTAAAACTGACAAGGGCATTGAGCAGGCAAGACTACAGATATATTAGAAAGCCACAAATGCACCCTTGTGCAACTGTGAAAGACCACCACTAACCAAAACAAAAACAAGATGACATTTGTGCACATCTCTGTTGGCAAAAGCATTAAAAATGAGGATGGCAAACCATGAACAAATCAAGAAGTGCTGCTCCAGCATTGATGGAGGGGTTGTTACTGGAGGCAGCACAGGTGAGATCATAAAACTGATTGTAACTCATAATGAAATTACTTTTCTAGGCTCAAGTTACATGGCAACGTATCAGGGGCTCGCCAAGCCATGGGCTGTCAGGGTGACTTGTTGCACAAAAACAAGACTCCCTGTGGCAAGCAGCCCAGGTTTGGACAATACACCGACCCACCATGCCTAGCCATCCAGTTATGTGGGCCAAATGAATTCCCGTTCATTTTAAAGATCAATTATGAGTAGGACTAACACTGGATACAGCCTATAGTCTAAAAATATCTAGGAGTGGGAAACAACATACAATTAATTTTCAGGACCAAACTAGTTTTTTGTAAATACACAGGAGGTTCCACCATCCCCTTTCGGTTAAATGATATAGTTAAAACGTATTTCCAATTCCATCATTTTAAAGACATATGAAGGAACACATAAAGCCAGCTTCTAAGTAACTGTTTTTATGAATGAGGAGTCATACCCACCTTCCTCCATTAATCCTTTAATTTGTTCATCTTTCTCCTTAAGTAGTTCAGCAGTTTCATTACAGTTCAATCTAGTCGCTAGATCTTCTTTGAGGACCTTTACTTCCTAAAAGGAATAAAACCCATTCATTCTCTAAACTGATAAACTTTGACCATGACTTTTAAAAATGTTTGCTTCAAACTATACAAAGCTGTCCTCATTACAAAAAACTTACTTTCTTTGTCAATATCCTAATAATTAACACATATATCTTGTATGGGGGGAGGATAAGTTAGCAACAGAATCTTATGATTCTGACTGACTCAGAGAGAGCCAAAGATATCTTAAACAAAACATTTTAAACGTTACAGAAATATCAGCTGTAACCCCTCCTGCCAAAAAAATCTTTATATGGATCATACTGAAGCATTACTTCCATATAAAATCCAAGAGAAGTTTTAAAAGCTGATTCCTGTCACTATTTTAAAACTTTTAAACCAATTTCGGTTAAGTAGGCATCCCTGCCATTTACTGCTCAAACCTCAAAGTTAGCTGCTCAAAGTTAGCTGACTGACCTTTGGCTAAAAATGTAATTTTCAGTCTATAACCTATATTCCATTCTGCAGCCCATGCTGAGCAATGTAGTTTTCCAAGTGGAAGACATGAATGGTTACTAATGGAAATACAAGCTTTTCCATAATCCTTTCAGATAAGGTATGGCATACTTGAGCTATAGCTCACAGCTACGTAGGTCTGCTTAAAATCTATAGGAAAAACTAAATAACCGATTCAACTCATGCAACAGACTTGCTAGCTCAACAGACTTCTTTTTTTAACTTGCTCTTCTTGATCAGCTGTCACCTATATCATACTGCCAAAAATGAAGTCCATTTTGGCTGAAGAAACTAGTTCCATGGTTCTTTGAATGACATTCAGGATGGACAGAAGGCTCCATGTTATTTCCTTCAAGCCCTTTTTCACACCAAGGGAGATGAAAGCAAGAGTGATCTGCCCTTCTACTCAAGAGCTTTGATTGCCTCCAGTGTGCATTATGGACTATTGCCTGAACTTTTTAAGTTAAGAAGTCGCTATGTTAATAGTACCCCCTCAAGGGTATAGAAGGGGCTTCCACAGGAGGTGGATGAAGCCCCATCGGTGAGGATGTTCAAGGATAGGTTGAACATGCACACGGTAGGCATGTCATGAGCAGTAAGGTGGAGCTGGGGGTCAGACTAGATGGCCCAGGAGACCACTTCTGACTCACTCTGTTTTTGTTTCTATATGATAAAATAAAAGAACTTTTATCCTTTATCACTTTTAAGGTACTGAAATACAGTTTGCTATGGAATGATGCTGGAATTATATGTTGGTATCAGACATTTTATCTAAAAAAAATCCACATGGATTCCAATGACTTTATGGTGACTCCTGCCCATTTTATTATCTCATATTGTATCAGGCTTCATAGTTTCATTCCAAGAAATCCCAGAGGAACACTATTTTTGAATGAATGATTCTGAGCCTTCTCTATCCCGCTGCAATATCACTTCACACCTTCAAATTCTGCCCTGGAGAGTTTCCAGCCCTCTACTACAGTTTTGGAGGGCACATACTGTGCAGAGGCTGCAGGGAAAGGAGAGGACAGGAAAATTCTATTCTACCAGCAGTATAATTTCACAGGCAAAATACTGACACTGCATAACATTCATACTCAGAAGAATGACTTACTTTTTTGGCTGCATCTCTCTCTTTGCATGCTAACTGAACCTTCTTTTCTGCATCTGCTATCCGCTGAGCAAATTCTTCTTTCAAAGATGCAATGTTACTGTTCTCAACTTTTATTTTGAAGATTTCACTAAATATAAAATGTTTGCATCATTACAATCCACTTAACATTTCAAACTGTGTGCAGAATTTATGCAGGCAGCAGCCTTATCTGACCTCAAATACCAGAGGCTCTCCATCCCCAGTTATAACAATTAGCACAGAACAAGCCTATCCCGTCCCATGTCACTGCACAAATACTACCTTCTGTGCCACACTAATCACTGAAATTTAGTAACGTCTGTCCATTTTTAAATCAGTTGTTACAATCCATTGAGCTACAATACACAAAAATCTATGCTATATAAAAGGCAGCAAAATGCATTTCTTGAACAAAGGGATCACAACATTCTCACATGATCTAAACAGGCTCAAAATGAAATGCTTTCAACTGAAACTTACTCTTTAAGGTTATCATAAGCTTCTTCTAGGCATGCCTTTTCTTTACTAACACTCAGCAGTCGACTTTCTCTCATCTCCAGTTTCTCCGTCAAAGAATCAATAATCTGAAGATTTTAGATAAGGAGGTGAGAAGACCAGTACAATGGCTACGGACAGCATTGACAGTACATGCAAAACCCAAAGTTCCTCTCAGTTAGTTTCTTAAGTAGCATAAAGACATCTCACAACATGCACACTGTGGCTGTCTTGGAGCTTCCCCAAAGGATAAGAATACATTACCACCTATATTATTTGTTCAGTACAAACAAGTCCACAGAGCAGGTGATGTGGTCACAATGTTAGACAGGTCTGGAGAAGCTCCTCAGTCAGCCAAGAACCACACTGGGCCAGTCTCTAACCCTAAACTACCTCGCAGGGCTGTTGTGAGACAGGCGTGAAACAAATGTAATAGAAATAAATAAGGTTGGAAGCTTAGTCAGAACATGTGGCAACTTCCACTAGAAAAGAAAATGACATTTTCCCCCTAACAGAACAATTTTCTACAATAGATCATTTGGCCTGGATTTTAAAAATACACCTGAACAAACTGAATTAACTGCAGCTTTTGCTGAACCTACACAATTCAATTTTGTACGTAGACAGGATCGGAGTGGCATAAGTTATTTTACAGTAGATCAATCTCTTCTCTTCCCATACCCACCCCACCATACCACATATTCCTATTATGTGGAATACACAAACATGTGACAAATCACCAAGCCCCACTATGGTTCAACAACATCAAAGAAGAGATGATCAACAACCAAGTTGCCCCTGGCTCCCCGAACACCCTCAATGCATCTCTCCCTTGAGCCAACAATCACATCAAGAGAGCAGCAGCAGAACACTATGAATGTCAGTGCTGGGATTACCTTACAAAGCTCTTCTTTTTCACACTGTACACTGGATAACTTTTCAGCACTGGGCCGGACTACTGCCATCTCCTCCTTCTGGGTCTGCCCTTCATCAGATTGCTCAGAAACAGCCAAGGTGTCTGGTTGTTCAGAGTTAACAGGGGTTGCACTTCGCCCACTTTCCTCCATTTCTGTTTCTTCCGTGGGTAGTACAAGGGGGGTCTCATTTAAGCTGTGTTCAGGTTCACTTTTTGTAGGTTCAACTTCATCACTTTTTATTGTTGAAGGACTGAGGGCAACAGATGCTAAAACGCATCCCCTACCAGATAATTCATCATCTGAGTTTATTTCACTTACACTCCGACTATCCAAAGACTGCACACTAAATGAATCTATTCTTTCAAAAGCATCTGAGGAGCAGCAACTCTCAGTCAGTTTCTGAAAGTCATCTATACGATTATAGTCTGTGCAAGAAGATGCTGTGAGAAGTTGAAAAGAATTTTGCATCAGATGAAGACTGGATTTTGAATCGGCAGCCTCTTGCCTCGAACTTACTGAGCTCTCACTTATTACACTTTCATGGTCCAAAACTTCAATATCACTAGTTGTGGATGTCCCTGAGGAGAAAGTGCTAATTGGAGGTGAAGGTGTGTTACTTTGCCTGTCTTCACTTTTGCGCTCTTTAGTTTCCAAACTGTCTTCATTCTTTTGCTCTTTAGGTGTCAAACTTGAATTCTTTGCCTCCGGAGGCAAAGGCTGTGCAGAGCTGTCAGGTGCAAGCCTGGGCCCATCACTTCCTGAACTTGATTTTGCGATAGCAGCAGATTCTCCTTCCTTGAGATTCTGAGGAGATGCCTCTTGTTCAGTGTCTTTACTATCAGCTTCATGATGTTTATCTTCAGTATTATGTACTAAATTATTTTCTTCTAGTTTTTCCTGGGAATTACTGAAGGTTTTCAGTTCCACAGGTGAAATTACAGGGATATCTTTTGCTTCTGTTTCTGGTAAGTCAGCATACAAGGATTCCTGTAATGTGCTTTTTACTTCTTCTTTGGGTCGTTGTGATTTGGTGGGAGGCTTAGATACCACTAGACTTTGCTGTATGCTCTGAACATCCACTGGTGAAAGAAAGGCACTGAAGAAATTTTCTGATTCATCTACCACAGTCCTCCTTACTGGTCTTGTGATGGCCGTAGGAGATGATGTCAACTCATTCTGAGGTTCTGTATTTGAGTTTGCCCCCCAGGAAGACTCATCCCATCCTCCAACTGTAAGAGAATTTGTTCCTACAACAAAATGAGGAGAAAGGAAAAATAAAGCTGAGAATATTGTACAACTCTTACAAACAGGTAAGTAGGTAGCATCTAAAAGAGCCACGTAACCACCCAACATATAACACTATCAGTACAATCATAATTACAGCAGTAGGGAGAGGTGAATATACCTACAACACTTCTCTGCTAGCAATGAGCTCTCGACTCTTCCACCAAACCTACAGTGCTCACAAGCCACAGCCTTCAAAGAAATACATCTAACTCAAGAGAGAACTCTGCAAGCTGTTAAGGAATGTAAATTCATCATGTGGTTCCTGATGGTGTAATCCTTTTCCTGGGATTTCTGTGTGATCCCTTTCATAAAATACCAAGCATCCATCCTTTTGGGGGCATCAAAGTTCAGGTGTATGACTATGTGCAAGCACAAATGAGGGAAGTGGGAGAAAAGTCTATTACACCTGATGATAGTTGTACTCAGACATAACAACCAGCTATAGCTTACTGTTATATGAATTATCCACTCCCCACTCCCCTCCTTCGATGCAAGGAGATCAGAAGCTTTTTCTTCCATTTTACAGTAATTACAATACTGTGTACAAACTGAACAAAATGTGAACTTATTGGTCTTAACCATGGTTTACCAAAACAAACCAATTCATGACTGTGGGTTAAAGCTGAATTTCAATAAATCCCAATAAAGTTTAGCTACATTTAGGTGCTGGGAATGAAGGTGGCAGCTGCTCTTGGCACACTGGGGTCCTGCGCACCTGCACTCTGAATCAGAGAATGGAAAAAAGGCAACGGAGGGGGCCGGGGGAAGTGGGGCTGCAGACTTTGAGATGAAAGACGTGGAGGTGCTTATCTCAAGGCCACCCTCCCCAAGTGCCCAGGCAGGGTCTGAGAAAACCAACATGGACAGCTGCTGGGTGGGGGCTTGGGAGTGGAACTCTCAGAGAAAGATGACGCTGGCATGACTCCTGACCACATGACATGGCACTGGGAGAGGAATGCTAGCCAACTAGAAGGTCAGCGTACAAATAAAAGGCATGCTTGCTTCCAAATGGGCCCTCTTGAAGGGGCTGGGGCCAGACATACTCAAAAGGAAGATTTCTGAAAGTTGTTGTTTAGAGTGGGTTCAACAAACCGCTCTGTGCATGGCCAGAGTTACATTCTGTGGGAACTGAGTTCAGTGAATATACTCTGGTGAGTAACCAGCTTTTGCAAAGGAACAGTCTGGTGATTTGAATGTGTAAAGGGAGAAGAAGTACCAATTCCTCTCTGCTCTGCATTAGTCAGACCTCATCACCTGGAATAAAGTGTTCAGTTTTGGGCATGCACCCAGGTATCAAAAAGTTGCTGATAATTTGGAGAGGGTTCAGGAAAGGGCAACAAAGATGATACATGGCTGGAAAATAAGTCTTGTGATGAAAGGCTGAAAGAACTGGGCCTTTTCAGCTTGAGAAAAGATGACTTTCTGCTCACAAGATAACATTCCACAAGTACCTCAAAGGCTGTAACAAACAAGTAGGAAAAGACCTTTTCTCATTCATTCCAGACTATAGGACAAGAACGAAGAACTTAAGTTATAGTACACCAAGTGCAGGCTAGACACAAGGAAGATTTTCCTAACTTTGTGAGCAACATAACAGTGGAACCACCTAACAAGGGAGGTTGTATGCTCTTCCACACTAAATGCATTCAAGAAGTAATTGGACAATTATCTGATTGGGATAGTGTAACTGGAGTCCTGCACTAACAGGCAGTTGGACTTGATGGCCTTTCTGGCCCCTTCAGACCCACCTGTTCTATGAATCCGTGAAAACCCCCTCACTCACAACATCAGGTTTCAGACATAATGTTCAATTGTTGTTAATTCAAAACTGCAAGGAAAGTTTCACCAGAGGAAGGAGGGAGAGAGCAGAAGCCCAAGATGCATTCATGTAATTATAAATCATAGCTTATCATTATGTTGCCACTATGTATTGGTGTGAAAGCTGGAGAATGAAGTAAGTGAACAGGAGGAAAATTGATGCATATGAAACATGGTACTAGAAGAGAATTCAGTGAACAGCCTGGGCTGACAGAAGACAAACAAGTGGGTCCGAGGCAGAACTTTTCCTAGATGCAAAAATGAGAATACTGAGGCTGTCATACTTTGGGCACATCATGAGAAGGAGAAGAAAACCATGCTGGGGAAAGTTGAATGCAGAAGAAGAAAAGGAAGACCGACTATGAGATAGGCTGGCTCCATAAAAGCAGCTATAGCCTTGTATTTACAAGACCTGAGTTGGGCTGGCATGGATATGACATTTTGGAGGGCTTTCATTCATAGGGATTCTTAAGTTAGAAATGACTTGATGGCACAAAACAACACTTTTTCTTTTCAAAAACATGCTGCAGACACTCTCTACGTGCCACCTGTCCTCAACATACGCTACTGTTTTTGAATAAAGCAACTTCCCAAGGGTTCCACTATACATTGAAACAGTGCTACGGGGCAGGTGCCATTTCTTTTACAGTGGTATTCAATCAATGTTCACAAAAATGTTTTGCTCTGTTTATATAAGGTGTCTTAAAAGAGATCATACTCTCATCCAGCCAGTGTAACATAAAGAGAAGGGCACATCGTTTCTTTTACAGCATTAACTTTAAAAAGCAATACTCAGTTTTGTAGATGAAGTACTAATATAGCCAATCCCACCACCACACAACCTCAACAATTTTTCATGGAACAAAGAGTTCACAACTATTCCTTTACCAGATGAATTAGAGACAAGATATGCATATAAGAAGCTCTTTTAGTGATAAAGAAGCTGAAGATACAAGTTTATCAGGATATACGTTAAACAATAATTTTAGTTCTCTTACTCTAATCTTTACAAGTTATAAAAACTACTTTACATTGTAAAACCTTATTTCACCTTTCTGCATAAACATAGCCAGTCTTACATCATTATGGCTAATATATTTTTAGTGTATTTACATGCGCAAACTGTACAAGAGACATCTGTTTGATCACTGAAAGTTCTAGTGCAGATATGGGGTGCAAAACAAATCTTTTATCCACTGCAGCTGTTGGAGCATGTTCCTAAGATACCCCAAATACAGGAGCAGCAATGTCATCTCATACCTACATAATACTCACTTAAATAGTTAAAGCAAGCAGAGTTAGTTGTGTAACCCTTAGGAAATCCTGGGCAATTGAGATATGTGGTGACTAAAAAAGCAAACAAAGACGAAAGGTGCAGAAAAAAGGCAAGGATCAGGAAGAAGTTTGCAAACATTGTGTAACAGCAGGGAATGAAAAGGAAAAAATGGCTGTTAAGAATGACTGGGTATATGATATCAAGACTAAACTTAAATAATTCTATAACTTCAGACCAATGATTACTGAAATGGCATCACTGTGCATAGACCTACTAAAACGGTTGGTATGTATTCCCTAAAAGAACTTACAAGGAAAAGCTACAGTGGGAAAGACTGCCAGATAAAAGCACGTTTCACCTCTCCAACCTGCTGCTCTCAGATGTTTTGAACCACAAGACCTATCTTCATTAAACAATCAGCCACTACTGCTGGGGATGATGGAAACTGCAAATCCAAAGCATCCAGAGGCACCAGATGGGGGAGGCTAAAATATCAGATAAATATAACTTCAGATCATCATAACCCTACAGAAAGGATGCTAACAGAAGTTTCTCTCTTTAATTTTGATCCAACAGATCTTCCAAAATACCTGTGTGGGGAGTGAAGCTCTCTTGATGTTGTTATACTCCACTTCCAAGTGGTGCATTAGATAATAATATGCAAATACCTGTCATAGCAGGCAGTCAATAGGTAATGTGATTATGAAGAAAAAAATGTGAAAAGAATGAGAAGGCAGTAGCAGACTAAGTATGAAAATATGAAAGTGAAGTCCTATTACTGTTCACAACACGTGTGCCACAATAACTTTATGCTGAAGCTATTAACGCAGAGACAACAACAACAAAAAATAGGTATGGTCTTTGGTGTGCAAAGTCAACTGAGGAAAGCATGAAAGCAATGTTATAAGAGTGCTCAACAACTTGCATAAACAAGTGAGTGCAGAGTCCACTACAGAAAAGTGAGATCAGGAAGACTGCAACTGGACAGCCATCTGAGAAGAATGGTTTGACTGGGAGTCCCGCTCTGAGCAGGGGGTTGGACCTGATGGCCTTCTGTTCCCTTCCAACTCTACTACTATATGATTCTACTGCAGTACACCTACAGCTGTCAACCTACGTTCTTCCTCTTTTCTCTCATAATATTTGATAAATGAAATACAGATGGCTTTCTATTTATGGCTGTCCTGCCACCTATAAGCAAAGGCCAATGAACCAGAACAGAAAAATGATTAACATAATGGCACAGCATGCGTTTATACTATCTAATGTTACAGAAGATAAAGGTATGAGTGTGGACTTGTGTTTGCATAGTATTGGCAAGTAACATAGCCTCCAAGTAATACTAACTCAAGAATGGGAAAACGGCTGAAGATCTGAGATGCAGAAAGGACCCCAGATGTCAGTGGTGGTGGCAGCGATGGGTGCAGCAGCAAGAGAGTTTGTAACTATGAGGACTCATTTGAAAGATTACAACATGAATTAAATTAATCCATAATAGAATTTAACCACACAAGATAACCAAAACCTGAAAAACTAGTGACATTCTAGCAGTTTAGTACTCATACCATTCAATAATTTAACCTCCCTGTTTTGCCATTCCACATGTCCAGCCACTACTTGAGAAAAACAAGTCCAAAGCCCCACTGGGACCAAGTACTATAATTACAAAGCCACAATGTAATAATTACATTGAAGTTATTAACACAGAATACATAAGTGTAATCTTCTGCGTACAAGGTGAACCAAGTAAAGCTACGCTATATAAATACTCAACAAAGTATAAAAACAAATGCGAATCCACTTCAGAAGAATGAGAACAGGAAGATTATACTGCAACAGAGCTATGGCAGGTAAGCTGCAAGCACTGTGCTATTCTCGAAATGTCTGCTCATAATTCAGTGTTTCTCTACCTGTCCTGTTCTCGTGAGATGGGCAGGAAGCAAATTCATAACCAGTAAAAGTTGCATCTGTGTGACAGAAATAATGGAAGCATACAAAGAAGACATATGAAGAGAAATATGAAACAAAATGCATATACCTAAGGAAGCTTAAATGAGAAAATTACTAGGTGGGGTGAAAGGCAAAACACTGGAGCACCTGCAAACGTAATTAAGAGGATGTGCTGCCTAATAGGTATGGGGCCAAACTTGTCTGATCAAGCAGCACGTACGTCCTTTCCTGATCTGATCGCCACTTCGGCAGTTCCTGGCACGGATGTGTGATGTGCATCCGTTATACAAGTACACAGACTGAACAGTGATGCTTTCATGATTAACCGAGACCTCTTACTTTTACCACGACCTTACTTATGTTTATTCACGAGTGCCACTTTTTCGCGCGGGGCCCACCAATAAGGAAGCGTACCCAGAAAGCGGGGGAGAGAAAAACCCGCCCCCGAGGAGTGAAGACAGCCTCTCCGGACAGCTTGGGTGGACGGAGACCCTCGCCTCGCTGGCCACTGGAAGAAACGCGACCGGGCCGGCGGGGGCACCTGCCTAGCCCGGGTATCACGGTGAGAGGCTGCGGCGCGGCGAGGCAGAGCAGGGCGCAAGAGACCCTCCTCCCCCGACCCCACGTACCAGCCTCCCCGGGCCGGGAGGGGGCGATCCGCACAGGGCCACCCTCGCCCTCCTCCTCCTCCTCGGCCTGAATGTCCAGCACCCGGTCGATGGACTTCTGCGCCTGCGACAGAGCCTGCTTGGCGAAGGTCGAGAGCTGCGAGGCGTTGAACCAACTCATCTCCCTCCGCTTGGCCGGCCCTGCGCCCGGCCCGCCGGAGCGCCAACCACCCGCCGCGTCGTCCCTCAGCCGTAGCGGAAGCCCCACCGACGGCCGACAGCCATGGGGTGCGACGGACCCGGATAGGGCAGCGAGCCAGGCAGGAAAGCCGCCCCAGCGCGCATGCGCCGGAGCCCTCTGCTTCCACGTAGCAAAACAAGCCGGCGCCGGCGCCCTCGCTCGCGGGTGGCGTCCACGTGACGCCCATCCCAGTTGCCATAGCCACTAAGCGCGTCAGTCACCTCAGAGAATAGCGGGCTCAACTTCAGCCTGAAGCTCTTGCTTCCTTCCGCTTCCGCAATCGTGACGTCACCGAGGCTTTTTCGTCCGAAACAAGTGGCCATTTTACCGGCTTTACGGGCCCTCAAGCGGCCACGCCTCTCTCGTATTGCCCTTCTGATTAACCGCCCCCTTAATTTCTTGCAACCAGTCATGGCACTTGGTTTGGTTCTCGAGACACTGTAAAATCGGAGCTGTTCAGCAGAACGAAAATGCCAGTTTTTAAACAAACTTCTCCATGGACCCTATTCAGAGCACGCCCATATCGTCACGTTCTGCAAAGGAGCCAGCGATTTAGTTATGTGGTGTTACTGTTTGCAGTCCTTCTCCAACTTAGGGCGAATGTCACAAGTAATTTCTCCATCGATGCCCCAAAAAAGTAAAATTACTCAGACTTTTGACAATAGTTAACTTTAATATAAGCTTATCTTTCCTTACATGTGCCTCTCCCATCCCACCACCAGCATAAGCTTCAAGCTAGAAGTGCTTCTACATGGAGGGGAGCATAATATTTGCAACAACCCCAGCCTAAAAGGTACCATTGGGTAAAACAGCCCTGCATGACCAAGCAAATGAAATAAATACACTGACAATGAAATACCACTCAAGTATCCAGCAGACGGCACCATGCACAGTAGCCAGTAGTTCTTACAATTATACAAATTAAGTGTTTGATGCTCATCTACAGGTGACAATTTTAAGTTCATATTTTTTTTAAAAAAATACAGTACATTTTGGCAATACTTAAGAGTTTTCAAATTGCTCAATAAGGACATTAAATAAAGCAAGAAACAGGCTTATTCTACTGGCTGGTGGTCTGAACTAAATTGTACACAGATTCTAAAATGTAATTTAAAATCTTTGTTCATGTTACCATGTACATTCAAAGGATTCATAGGTACTTAGGTACAATAGAACTAATCTATTGACCATCACAAGTTTCCACATGCAGGAAAGAGTGTTGGCATTTAGTGTAATTACAAATTGAAAAAAATGCTATACATCAGATTTCTGTACATTAGAGCTTTTATACAGTTATCAACCAAATATTGGTTTTCAAGGACAGTTCTAATATAAGAGCAATTTATTCAGAATAAACTAGCTTCCAGCAATGCTTGTATTAATAAAGACTGGGTCTGGACAAAATTCATCTTCCTAGTGCACAACAGTTGTTTTACAAGTTATGCAATATTTTCAGTGCATATTTATACCACTTTTATTTATATCAAGTAGTAAAATGAAGTTTGAAGAGAACAGTCTGAGGTGTGGTGACATCTGCAACTGCAAGCTCCTGACCATCAACAAGTCCCAGTTCTGTAACAAGAAACAGTTACAAATATAGTATTTCAGTCAGTTATGGAAAATGTGCAACTGATAAACACATTCATGCAAGCAATTTAATGTGAAATCAGCATACATAGTAATTCACACTTTCTGATAATGTGTAGGCATTACAGTTACCCAACTGATTAAATTTTAGATCTATATCCACAGGTTTGAATAAATACAGAACTGTACTCCCAAGTAAGGTTTGGACTCTGAGCATTCAGTTTCAATTTCCTGTGCTTCTTATTAGAATGGAATTTGTACTATAGTTGTACTCAAAAGCCAAAAAACGTGCTTTGCATATACGATAAGAAGACATTTGTGCAAGAAGGAAGCCAGCATAGCAATACTATCTGGAGTGGTACATCCCAAAGTCTGCTTTTTGTCAGCCTTATTAATTAGGGGAAAGGGGCAAAATCCAGGCTTTGATTAAGTTTTGATGATTGCTGCAGCCTGGTAATCATAAGGGTCCAACCACAGTGACATTAATGCCAATTGACATCAATGAACATAAACATTTAGAAATACTATATAAAAGTTCAAAGGAGGGTTGTGCCACCATATGATTTAATGCCAACTTTCTGGAGGAAATTACGGTTTCACTAGCAAAAGCATCAGCACATATGTTTAGGATTGATATTTACAAGTATTTTCACCTTCCCGTAAAACATGCCATAACCCAGCTCAGAATAACTTAAACTTATTTCTAGAAGTCTTCCATATACTTCTAGAATACAATGGAGTTATTAAGTACATCTTGACTATCTTTCTGCAATATATATTGAGAGCAAAGATCACTATCAACAAATAAATGAATTGTAAGATTCTTGGGGTAGGAATGTGCCATTGATGTTCTTAGGAAAGTCCCATATACATAAGTGGTGCTTTGTAAATAGTAATAGTTACTCTGATCTTCCCAGCTTATCATCTTCATGTTGCAAGCTTCTGCCACTTATGTGCCATCAAGTTGCCTTCAACCTATGGTGACCCTGTGAATGAAAGCCCTCCAAAATGACCTGTCCCTGACAGCTTCATTTGTTCACTTCAAGGCTGTGGCTTCCTTGATGAGATTCAATCCATCTCACATTTCCCATTCTTCTACCTTCAAGCTTCCCTGATTGTTATCTCCAGGGAGTTTTCCCTTTTCATGATGCGCCCGAAGTATGACAGCCTCAGTTGTGTCATTTTTGTTTCTAGAGAAAGCTCTGGCTTGATTTGATCTAGTACCCACTTGTTTGTCTCTCCTCCAGCACCATGTTTCAATCACATCTATTTTCTTCCTGTCGGCTTTCTTCATTGTCCATCTTTCACACCCATACATTGTGACTGGGAATACATTAGTTCGGATTATCTTGACTTTGGTCTCCAATTGGACATCCTTATACTTCATGATCTCTTCTAGGTGCTCCACTGTTACACTTTCAAGTCACAGTCTTCCTCAGATTTCTTGGCAGCAGTCTCCCTTGGAACTGATGACTGAGCTACGGTATGTGAAATCTTTCCCGGTTTTGATTTTTTCATTGTCAACACCAAAGTTGTGTAATCCTTCTGTGGACATGGTTTTTGTTTTCTCACTATTTAACGACAGTCCTGCTTTTGTACTTTCACTTTAATCAGAAGCTATTTCAATTCATTGCTGCTTTCTTCCAATAGTATGGTCTCATCTGCATATCTTAAATTAGCTATCTTTCTTCCCCCAATTTTCACCCTTCCTCCGATCAAGCTTTCCTTATGTTCTGTGTACAGACTGAACAGATGGGGAGACCTTTGCCTTTTGGAAACCATTCTGTTCATCCATATTTTGTCCTAACTGTAGCGTCTTGCCCATGATACAGGTTACGCACTAGGATAATCAAGTGCTGAGGCATTCCCATTTCTTTCAGGACTATCCATAGCTTGTCATGATCCACACTATCACTATCTGCTCTTGATCTTTTTTTGATATTCATTGGAGCGCTCCAGTAGCTAACATATATTTGCAATATGATTTCTAATGCCTCTGTATGATCTCATTGTACAGACATATATCCATTCAAATGCTCCAATACGAACAACATCAAGTTAAGCCTGTTTTTAAATCTCATTAATTTCTGTGTGAGTTCATATGTACTTAAGTTACTCCTTCACTTAAAAAGCAATGGGACTTTATTTACATGACCATGATGTAGCCAAAGCAACAATCTTTGTGACTTAGGATAAGTTAGTTCAAGATGAATCTCACTGTCTTCTGGGATCAGTGATACAGTTCACATTTGGGTGAAGATCAAGAGAAACCCAGTCAACACTCTTTTCTGTTCACTGCTCTTAGCTTGCATGGACACATCTTAATAGTAAGGCAGCTACTTTGTGTTCATTTCTTACATAGAGAGCTTTCAACTATATATAATTATATGGCAACACAGTACACTGCATTTTTCCACTGGCTGATGTGATTTGATAGTGTGGGTACCGAACCTCCCTAAAACAAGTCCACACTTTTGTTGTTGTTGTAAGTCACAAAGTCATGCCTGACCCATCACGATCCCATGGACAACATTCCTCCAGGCTTTCCTGTCCTCCACCATCCCCCAGAGTCCACCCAAGCTCACACCTACTGCCTCAGTGACTCCATCTAGCCACTTCATCCTCTGCCGTCCCCTTCTCCTTTTGCCTTCAATTGTTCCCTGCATTAGGGTCTTCTCCAGGGGGTCCTTCCTTCTCATTAGGTGGCCGAAGTATCTGAGTTTCATCTTCAGTATCTGGTCTTCTAAAGAGCAGTCAGGCTTGATTTCCTCGAAGAATGACTGGTTTGATCTACTTGCAGTCCAAGGGACTCACAGAAGTCTCCGCCAGCACCACAGTTCAAAGTCCTCAATCCTTTGGCACTCAGCCTTATGGTCCAACTTTCACAGCCATACATTGCAACTGGGAAAACCGTAACTTTGACTATACAAACTTTTGTCAACAGAATGATGTCTCTGCTTTTTAATATTCTGTCTAGATTTGCTATAGCTTTCGTCCTAAGGAGCAAGCATCTTTTAATTTCTTGGCTGCAGTCACCATCTGTGGTGATTGTGGAGCCCAAGAAAATAAAATCTGTCATTACCCCCATTTCTTCCCCATCAATTTGCCAGGAAGTGATAGGACCATGATCTTAGTTTTCTTAATGCTGAGTTTCAAAACCCACACTTTAGAGAAATATTAATACAAATTTCCTTGAGGTAAGCAGATGTTGTGATATGTTGCATAGACATGGCCATCATGGGTTAATCTAGGATTAAACAACCCTTGCCCTAACTAAGGGTAAAGTGTAGCTTGTTTAACCCTTGATTAATCCACAATGACCAGGTTCATACAACTCCTAATCACCCCAATCAGAGGTTGCATATTCAAAATGGCAACCACGTTCCCCACCACACTAGTAACAGAAGCAATATTCTGGAAAACTAGGACTTGAAGGTGATGTTTCTGGGCAACTGGCTGGCCACAATGTGAAAAGAATGCTGGAAAAGATGGATCTTGGTCTGATCTAGCATCACTTATGTTCTTATGTTCAAATACTCTACAGTTAATCAATTGATTTTTGCTTTTTCATGTGAATCAGATCTCAGGTACATTAAGCAGTGCACTAAGTTGTTGTTTTGAATTCAGTGTAATGTAAGCAATATACTTTTAATAATGTTAATATGTATGTATAAATTACCTTTTAAAGTCTTTGAAAGGTTTGACCTTGTTCGTTCTTCAATTGAAGCTACTGACTGGGTCAGAGAAAGAAACATACAGTTTGTATTATTTTCCCTTAAATATATAAACAAACTAAAATTATCTATATGTATGTATTAGTCACCTGTAAATAAAGAGTTTTATTTCTCCCATATACTGTAGCTGTTATTGCAGGGGACTTCATTTGTCTGTGCAAGAAGAACAACAATCAGTAAAACAACAAACCTAATTTTTAAAGCAATCACCGTATCTTTAATCTGCTAAAAACACAATTCCAAGGCCTCTGGACAGCATCTGAGGGTTCATATGGTACAGCAAATCTCCCCCTCTAAGACTGGAGGAAGAGTCCTGATCTTGGAGATCAAGCTGTGGATTTCTGCCAGCTCTCTCAGCCACTACAGAAAACATCACAGTGGCTCCCTTCTACAAGTGGGGACTCTGAGCTTGGCAAGGGAAGAAATATCATATTTTTCTGACTATAAGACGCAACCATGTATAGGACACCTCCAATTTTCTTACTGATCTCCGAGTGAGCAAGCTGCTGCTGCGAACGCGTACCCGCTGCCTCCCCGTACCCACCTCCCCCCCCCGATCGCGCCAGTCTACCCTCCCCTCACATGCCCACGGTTCTCCTCTCAGCCCCCCATATATAAGACGCCCCTCCATTTTTAGCTAAATATTTTAAAGAAAGAGTATCATCTTATACATGGGAAAATACAGTAAGTGTGTTGGGGATGAGCTAACAAGTGGGAAGGGGACAAGCCATGAATCCACTGGATTCAATGGCCTCTCATCCTGTTCCCACGTTCAGCAGAGGGAGCACATTAGAGGTCCGTCTACTGAAAGATGTTTCTAAGGTTGACAAGAGTGGGGCGGGGGGGGGGGGCCTCTATCATATGTCCCAAAATGGACAGAGGGCTTCAATCTCAGAACCTGCTGTCATTTGGACTAACTGCCAGTATGTCTGCTCTTCACAGTATGTTTCTAGGATCGGGGTTCAATGATTTACGAGTATTTATCATTTCAATTAAATTTTATACTTACAATGAAGCATTGTTTGTCAAATAATCCAAAACTTCTTGCAGTTTAGCAGACTGAGAAAATTCTATGTTTTGAGGGAGCTGGCTGCAGGCTAAACAGTTCTCCTACAAATAAACCAGTGTCATTCAATTGCACAAATAAACCAATGCCATTTAGGTTAGCGTGGCCTCTCCCATAAATTATATCTGGTAGGGATATAAGATATGTGATGCCCAAGCCCACATCTTGAACTGAGCATTTGAGCATCAGGCAATGAGTGTACTTGACAAACTATGGGGTTTCTGTTATCTCAGTGTTCCATATTAGTTGATACTTCTAAGCAATTGTTTATGGTGGCCTTTATGTTAATGCACCTTTCATCTCCAGGATTTGAAAAAGGAGTGGTATAAGAACTGCTAAAATAACAATCCCAAATAAACAATTAATCATAATCTGTAGTGACTGTAGTGATTTTAACAGCTGAGTTCACGTTATGAATGCTGCATGATTTTATCCCTTGCAATAACTAAAGTCATATGGGCAAAAGATAAGAAATGTGAATTTGGTTACTTCTTTTTGTAAGCAACTGAGAGATTCTCAGTACAGTATTGGAAAATATGGTCATTAATGACCAAGAACAAACTATACATAACCAACCTTCTTTTCTGCTTCAAATGTGTATGTGTAGAGTCCGTCTACATCATTGAATACCAGATAATTGTTCAGAGGCATGTAAGCACTGTAATGAAAAAAATCTGTTAGCATTTATAGGCAACATGTTTGCTAAAAGTATTTAATTAGAAAACAAGTTACCTTGTGGCTATTTTAAAGACTTCAGTGGCACATACAGCTAGAGAGACAGACAATCAAAATTAGTTTGTTACATATTTAAAGATTCCTGAAAGCTGGATATGGTTCAGTTTTTAATATGCAAAAATGGATTTCATTGAAACAAGGCATGACAGTTTGCCAGGTGTATCAGTTGTGAGGTGTTTGCTATTCAGCCAGAATTTTATCCCTGTATTATCAGAATTTGGTTTGACTATACATTACATTTAAACATGCCTTCCTAAGATCATTAGACTAGCTCTGTCAAGCTCTCTTTTAATAGAGTAATTCTAATGACATTTAATTAGTAGTAAATCACATTGATTTCAATGCAATATTTTTCCTTGTAATTTTTCCATGGATTGTTTTACTTTGGTGAAATTCACAATAAAGTGACAAAAGGATTGGAAAAGAAGGCTACAATCCTATGTTTACCTAGGGGTAAGTACCAGTGAATTCACTGGAACTTACATCTAAGTAAATATACAGAACTTTGCTGTGAAGCTCTTTTCCTTGTATATTAGCTATATGAAGCACATTCAGTGAAAATTTTTATTAATTTAATTTAGACCCCACCTTTCCACCAAAGTAGGCAGAATCCAGCTTGACAATAACACTAATAGAAATTATGCTGTGCTAGTGTAAGTGATCCCTAGTGCAACACCAATAACATTAAGTTAGCATGATGGGTTTTACAGAAAGCTGCCACACCAGATCCTAATGTTGCACTAAAGATTGCTTACATATAGTTTACATTATCACTAGTGCCAAGCTGGATACCGCTCAGGGCTAAAACATACGAATAAAACCCAAATCTTAACAGCTGTGGTCCCCAATTACAAACACAAAATTTACATAAGCATTATTTTACCTGCAATGACAGCATTCGTAGAAGCTACAGCTGGAATGATCCTCTTTACAACTCCTGCATTGAGAAGAGCAAATTATTTCTACTGTAGCAATAGTAAAGCACATTGTAGACCAAACGACTGCTGCAGAGTCAAACAATAATTCGAGGGAGAATAGTGAAAAAATATTGACAGCCGGCGTTGTGTAGCGCTTAAGCATGTGGGACTACAATTCAGGTGCTCTGGGTTTTAATCCCTGCTCAGTCATAGCACCCACAGGGTGACATTGGGTAATTCATGGACTCTCACCCCAGCCTACCTCACAAGACTTTTGTTGTGAGGATAAGCTTGAGAGGAGGGGAATTACACAAGCCACCTTGAATTCCTTGAAAGGAAAAAAGGCAGGATATAAATATAACACATACATACATACATACAGTGATGGTTACAGCCACCATCCTAAACACTCAAAAGAACATAAGAAACTAAAGCTTGAAAAATATGTTTAGCATTACAGTTTTCAAAAGAACAGAGTTCTGGTACACAGGTGGGGAACTACAATGTTAGGACACAAGTTTCACCACCCCCCACGACCACTGGCTAGGCTGAATGGAGATGATGGGAATGCAAAGTGCCCCCCCCTCCAATATTAGCTGAACATACAGCTCTTGCTGAATCGTACCTTGTGTGAGCCTGTAGGTTAGACCTTTAATATTAAACTGTGATGCTCTTTCTAAAGACTGTTCAAAAATCCACTGTATGTGTTCTGGGTCATCTCCATCTAGGGGAACACCTTCTGCAAGAAAGCATATAATCCGTATTTGTTTAAACTTGAAAGAGGTAATGGAAACTTGTCCTGGCTCAGAAATCAGGCTTGAAGTCTCAAAAGAGGACTGACTAACGCATTCATTTTTCAAGAGGGTTAGTTGCTAAAAGTTGCAAAAGTTTTTGCAAAAGCAATGTAATTTAAAGGTAATTCAGTAATTATTTCTCCTATGGTCCTTTCCTGGATAAGATTGTCATAGGCTCTAGAATGATTTGGATGCTTCCCTCCAAGGTCAGAGAGAGTGCTCTGGTCTCAGAAGGGGTGACGGAGATCCACTGCCCTTCCCCTGTCCCCTTGCAGCCAGCATGGAGAGAACTGCAATGGCTACCTCTCTGAGGCCAGAGTATCGAACCTGGAGATCGGAAAAGGGGACATTCCAATGAGTGGCCAGAGGAGGGGAATTGAGAGGACAGGAACCCAAGCACTCCCACAGAGCTCTCAGTAAAAAGCCCATGTAGCAAAAAATACGCAGAGCAAAGGAAGGTGAAACCAAGAGTGCCTCTGCTGCTTCTCTCACTTTGTTGGCTTAAGCCTGGCAAGGCACAGAAAAAGAAGCCTCCATGTTTGTAATCAAGTTTCTGAGAGAATCAGAAAAGTCACAAAAAGAGAAAAGGGTTCTACCATGACTAACAAAATTTTGCAAGTCAAGTGAAATTAAGTACAGCATTTTTATATTATTCAGCTTCCTATTTTGATTGTGATTTAAAAATAGCTTGCCTCCAAAGGGTTGTTCCTTGGGCCACTGCAATATCCTGACATACTCAATACAATGTTCTGGCAGCCGAGGCATTGAAGCAATTGTGCACATCGGAAAATTGACCTGGCAAGAGGAGATAAGAAGGTTCAACATGAATTTTGCAATGGGAGGCTCACCTGTGACCAATTATGTTTTTTTAAACTACCTGTGGTGGATAAAGTTCAAGAGTGCATTCAATGCAAGCAGTCATGCCAGGAATAATCACACGAGCATTTCCTTTAAAACCTTCAGTTCCTCCATCAATCAAAGGTATAATGGAAGTTGGATCCAACACCCCATCTTCATAGTTTAAAAGCGAAATCTGAAAAGGAAAGTCAAGTTTATTACACAATACCTCCTAGACCCTGCACTTAATTTCTAAAAGGACATCCAATTATCTGAAAAGGGCATTTCTGTTTCACAAAATATGTTAGGAACGATTACTAGAAGATCTCATCTTTCTAATCCAGCACAACAATGTTTTTATGAAGTTTATTCATGTTTACACTTTTGGAGCCTGACTGCTCACACTGTCCACTACCAAGTCATTTCAGTCACCTCCACTGGAATGCAGAAGCAGCAGGCATTAATGGGCTACGAAGAGCCATGCTTTACCTTTCGTGTTTGTGTGTTAACTTTTTTTTAAAAAGCCAGTAACAGAATTGGGAAAATGCCAACACTAACAGGGTTTCTAATACTGGTAAAGTGGCAGTAAAACAGAATCTTTTTTCCAAACCAGCCAGAGGTGGTGTGACACAATTAGAAGGCATACAAATATTTGTTTTAAGTAATAAATAACCAATCAAAACCATCATTCTAGATTCTAAAGATTTTGATCTTTTTATCCTATAGCATGCTAACTTCCCATGTTATTACTAATACCCAGGTTGGTGGCATGGGAGTAATTTAAATGCAGTCATTTACTGGACTGGTTCACATGATTAAATAAGTGCTCTGCAGTGTATGCACAGTCATTATGGATATTCACCACAGCTTGTCACATTGCCCAAACCTGGGCAGCAGGGTGTATGCAAGGGGTTAAACAACCATCATATAACTGATAGCCTGTTTTAGGATTATACAAGGGCTGTTTACCTTTTACACACGCCTTATCACCCAGGTTCACATGACATGCCAAGCTAACCTGAATATCAAAAACTGCCAAGCAGATGTCATGGTGCAGCATGGTATAAAAAAGCCACAGTGGGCTGCCATGACTTTGTAAACCAAGTCATGAAATGTAAGCATGGCTATGTGCCTAGTATAATGCACCTCTTGCCAAGATTAGTACCAGTGCTTTCCTTAACGTATCACCATCAAGAACAGCTTCAGAAATCTTGAGCTTGCCTGTGCTGCAGCTTATGGCAGTTCTAAAGTACATAGCACAGGTTTTACTACCTCCTAAAATCCACTTATTGTTCCAGTTGTTGCTAAACTACACCCAACACAGTTACGGGACAACAGATTATCCTACATGAGAAAAGTGTCTAATATACTTGGCAGTATGGTGGTTTTTCTCTACTTCATTATCACAAATACTACTAATCTACTGATGTCACAGACAGAAAATGCGGTTCAAGAAGAGTTTCCATAGAAAATGACTTGTAATGTTTTATGCTCATGGAGAAAGCATTCAAAGAGCAACCAGACAGAAATGTGGTTCCCCAGAAAGCAACCACCAATTGTGCTACATGAAAATAACAGTATTAAGACCAAAAGAGGGAGGGGCAAATTCACAAGCTCTGGTCATCAACAATGAGGCCTTATAAGACATATAATCCCAAGTTTTAGGTTTTGTAATTACTGTTTTGTTTTCTTGCTTCACTGTTGCAAGAATATCTGCTTAAAATTAATGAGACAGCTTTAGGACACTATAGTGGAACATATGAACTGAAGTGACATCTATACCAATTCTCAGGATCTTTGGTGCATAACTTAAATGGCCTGGTGTGGAAATAGTTCCCAATGGGTTACACGTTGACTTCTAGTGGTCTCTATTGAAAGTTGAATCAAGATGTGGTAAAATATTATGGCCAGAGACCCACCCACAAAAGTGCTTTGGAAAGTGGTGAGAGAAAAAGATAACCCATGAGTGCAATCCAGGCTTGGTACAAGTTTCTCAGATTCTCTAATCTACATTCAGGAGGGGTTCCTATTAGCACATTAGTTAATATTGAAATAACCAGCTGTATTGTAGAAAAACCGAATCCCTTTACTTTCCAGTTGTCAAAAGTATTTACCAGCATTCCATTTATCCATCTTCTTGCAATTATTGAGTCCAAACCACATACAATGATATGAAACTCTAGAAGAAAACATATTAATTTGTTATATACCTGTAAGACATATTCCTCCTTCCAACACTGTTAGCATATTATGTCTTAGTTTGTAAGTTCTTCTCACAGGACTGTATCCCATAATGTCATTCTACTGGCAAAATTCTTCTACTGCTTGTAGAAAATCTTTTATTCCTGTGCAACTAGCAAATTCAATTTGTTGAGTTTGGTCGAAGAAACCATTGCTCAATTCCTTTTGACTTCATAAAACTGTATTGCTTACATTGGTTGTGCTAGTTTTATCAGCGTATGCAAGGAACACCACCATCTTCTCTTGTACTTTTTCCACTGATGTTGCATTAGATACAACCCACTATGTGTTATCTTCCCTTTACAGCATGGGTCCTAAAACTACAGCCCGCAGGCTGGATCTGGCCCACCATGCCATTTATCCGGCCCGCCAGAGAGGTTTTGGACTTGCCACGCATGCATGGCAAGGCACCCCGGCTTGCTCACAAGGAGATCATTTTGGACTCAGCTCGGAGAAAACATTCTCTTCATGTGCCCCTCCACCTGCACTGACTTGGCGGCCCACGCCCATCACTGGCACCTTTCAACAACTGGCCCCCTGTTCATAAAGTTTGAGGACCCCTGCTTTACAGGAAAGGATAGCCACACTGCTGTCACCCAAGAACATGAACTATTACTTTCACAATGACCACTTACGTCTATAGAAAGTTTCATCCAGATCCTGAATCTTTTTGTAATGTCTGAAAACATATACAGTCAAGGCAACTTATTGAAAACTTGTACTTTTAAGGCAATTACATAGGTAGAATAGAAATAACCATCAATTTGGTATTTCAGTCACAGTCAAAAAAAACCTAGCAAAGTATCAAATGATCAATGCAGAATGCCTTAAAATGTCTACCTTCCTAACTCCCCTGCACAAAAAAAGGAAAAAAGACCCCTTTGAAACAGCCTATAGAATTACCTGAAGATTTGTTGAAGTGTAAAGTAGCAGAAATCTAGTTTTGGACTTCCCATTGACAGCTGGTCAGTCATTGTGGGGAACAGAACCCTAGACCAGGGAGGCCTTTAGCTTGACCTTATGGGGATCTTCCTAGGGGCAGCCTAAAATTAGTTGGAAGAACTTTCCCCTTGGGAATCCAAAGATGTTATCACTCAACACTCTCAACTAGCATGTCTGAGCATTTCCTTTCCCATTCATGTACTACATGTGTTGATAAATATTCTAGGCAATGCAAGTTTTACACTCAACTTTTACACTTGAAATGCAACAACAGTGGGCTATATTCAAAGGGTTCCCAGGCACTGGAAAACACCATAGCACCATGCTGTTAAGTCATAAACAGAAAAAATGGATGTGAATTCTAAGAGGTCTTGATCCCTAAACACACTTCCACAGGAACTAAAAAGGCAGGACAGAATTAAAGAGCAACTCATACAAGTGCTTCAGCAGGAAAGCAAAAGGAATACCCATGTTCATTCATAGGGCAGTTCTTTACAGATCTTACAAACATTGAAAATGTTCAGAGTTGCTTTTTGTGCCTGGGCTTGGAGGTTCCTAAATATAGCCCAGCATATATAAAGCTGAACTGGGCATTGAAAAGATCTCAGGATGGATCTGCATAAAGATGGTAAATTAATGATGCAGATTCAGTAATTTAACAGAATAAAGTCTTCCTAAAATCTGTTTGAAGGGACAGAGATAATTTGTTCCTAAAATCTGTTTGAAGGAACAGAGAACATTTCAGTTGCAAAAACTTTTAAACTTTTTCTCCAAATTTTAGTTTTTCTCAGACCAGGCTTTAAATCCAATGCTGAAAACTAGCAGTTATATTTCTAACAAAAGGTACTTGATGTAAGACCATAAAGGGCTGTAACTGTTCTTATTAGAAACCCCAAAACAAAACAGCACCAATAAGAGAAATACCTGTCAATCCCTATGGGAATGGAATATTGGAAAGCCTTCACATGTCAAAGATGAGAAAAATGAATACTTTGATGAAGCTGGGGAGATTCCATGGCATGTTGGGGGATTTGTTTGTGGGGAACCAACCATTGTGGTTTCGCCTCATAATGTACTTGATTATCAAGTACACACAGATATAAGAGAAAGATATTTAGAGCTTCTCCTGAAGAAAGTGAAATAGAGCAAAGAAGAAACTGAGTTATTTACTATAATCAACCAACCTATATGTGAAATAGAGGGTTGAAGTACTCACTGTTAAAGCCCTAGGTGTAAAACAAACAGCTTGAATACTATTCATCAGTTCATTAACCAGAACAGTTCTCTGGGCAGTTCACAAAATCAAAACACACAAATAAACACAATATACAAAACAGATCAGTAACATTAAAATCAAACATAAGTAATGAACTGTTAAAATATTTAAATATATGAATGTAAGGTGATCGACTGGATTCTTAAAGGTCTTATATGCCATATTATTTTTGTCTACCCACACTTTTTTAATTTGAGTAATGATTGATATTATTTATCAGATTTATATTCTACCTATTCCTTTTTAAAGAATTCAGGGTGGTTTACATCATTCTCTTCCTCCTGCTCTCAGTCTTTTCTCTACAACAACCCTGTGAGGTAGGTTGGGCTGAGAGTCTGTGACTGGCCCAGAGTCACCCAGGAGGCTCCATGGAGGAGCAGGGACTAGAACACAGACTGCCCGAGACCCAGTCCTGCACTCTTAACCACTACACCACACCGCCTTTCCTTAATTGATATGTATTTTATAGTGCTGGTGGTCTGCTTAAATTTATGGGTGATTAATATTGTATAATAATGTTTGCAATTAATGTTTGATTAACAATAAATGTATTTATTTCTCCAAAATGGGTTTGAATGTAAAGGAAGGAGAGGAAACTGCTAGCTAGATCTATAAACATTAAGCTATTTTGTTTTCTTTAAATCTAAGCAAATTATTTATTTCATGCACTTACCATAACTTTCACACACACAATAATGAAAAAATATGGCAGACAGTGTACATGAGAAGAATAAATCAAAGTTGTTACATTTTCGTAAAGGATACGGTACAACAGCACAATTGGGAATTCGACTATTTAGAAATTCAGCAGCAACTTCTGCTTTAGGCCGCCCAACATCTTTAGGTCTGTAGAAAACAACATTTGTTATGAAATCAAATTGATGCACACAATTGGTGTTTCTGCCAGAGTCAACATTTGAACACTTAGGGTTCAATCCAACATTGTTCTTCTGCCAAAGGAACAGACACTGCTAATGGATTAAATTTTCCCTCTGCCTACACAGTGTCATAAATATGTTCTGGAGAGTTGGAGAACTCTCTGAAGTAGATTCAGGGGATGGGAGGGGTGCAAAGGAAAGGAGAAGAGGGTAAAACCTAATTATATTAGCAAAAGTCTGCACATGTAATGTTGGACTTAGCCTTATTTCTCTGACACCCAGCTTAGTGAAATATAATAAAATTATATCACTACTGTATTACCTCTTCATCTCAACTATTCACTATCATAGATATGTGGTCACTAATAATCACTAAATTTACTCTTTTAAATCCAATTCAAAGGATCACATAGTGATATTCTTGGAGAAAAAATGACTTCTGAGTTCCCCATTTCCAAATGCATCCCCATGTACTGGCCTCAAACCTTCAGACATGGTGTCTGACACAGGACAAGTATCAGAAACAAACTCATACAAATATTTTTTCTTATACGCAGGAAGAGGCGCTTCAATCATGTTCGCCACTGAAAAAATGTCATATAATCAACAATGTATTTTCCACTAGACTAGGCCAGGTTTGGCTCAAAAACAGTGGTTTTGATGCGCAAGATATCATGCAGATGAAAGTCACTTAGTCTCGTCCTCATGCAGTTCTTGTTAATGTTCACAACCGAGAATGTCTTCTCGCACAAGTACGTCAAACCAAACAAGCTCAACAGTTTCTTAGCAAATGTTCGAATCTCTTGGAACCTGTCTTTATCCAGCTGGCGGTGAAAGTTGACAAGAGGGAGCTGTTGGTGCCGACTGCGACACTCAGCATCACACTGCAGCAAAATGAGCTCCAGCTGCAGGTGGTCTGGAGCGTCATCAAGGTCCACAGAGAAAGGGGATGAAAAAAGCGTAATCTCCTTTTCAATAGCTGCAAAATCCCGAAAGTGCTGTTGAAACTCCTCAGCCAGAGATGAGATGTCTGCTTCATACCTATTTGCACACTCATATTGTTCTGTGGAAAACTGGTCATTATTTCCTGCAGCAATGGGAAATGTGTGGTATTGGGCTGCGTTTGTGACAGGTGCCTTTGGAAAAGTAGCAGCTTGGTCCCAAAGGCTTTGATATGTGAATACAGTTGGCTTACCACTGCATTTTTCCCCTGAAGGCTCGTGTTCAGCACATTCAGATGTCGTGTTATGTCAACTAAAAATCCAAAATCAGCCAGCCAAACAGGATCAGACAGCTCTGGCATCGGTTGTCCCTTTTTTGCCAAGAATTGTCCGATTTCCTCCCTAAGAGAGTAGAAGTACTGCAGTGCAGACCCCCGACTGAGCCATCTTACCTCGTTGTGATACACAACATCTCCATATTCAGCCTGGATGTTGAGTAGAAACTGTTGAAACTGGCGGTGGTACAGGGCTTTGGAGCGAATATAATTAATAGCCTTCATCACCGGTTTCATAACATATTCATGATCATATTTCAGATGTTTGGCACAGAGAACTTGTTGGTGAATAATACAGTGGAGTTTTATAGCTTTGCCTCCTCCTTCGCTGACTTTGTTACAGACTAGGGTTGATAATCCACTTTGCTCGCCAGCCATGGCAGGTGCGCCATCCGTAATAATCCCAGTGACTTTATTCCATGGTAGTTTCATGTCATCTATGGTGGAATAAACAGAAACAAATAAATCTGTTCCTCTTGTTCGCTCCTTAAGGCTCTGGAGGTCAAGTAGCTCTTCATTCACGTTCATGTCATTGTCCATTCCTCTCAAAAAAATCAATAACTGAGCGGTGTCAGATGCATCCTTGCTTTCGTCACAGGCTAACAAAAAAAAGTCAACCTCCACTCCTTTTGCCTCTAACTGTCTCTTATTATCAGATGAAACGTCTTCAATTCTCCGTACCACAGTGTTACGAGCCAGGCAAACATTGGCAAACTCTTGCTTCTTCTCAGGACAAATTTTCTCCGCCACTTTCATCACGCAGTCTTTAATAAATTCACCCTCAGTAAAAGGTTTGCAGTGCTTGGCAATAAGTGTTGCCACCTCGTAGGTCGCCTTTGTGGCATTTTCATTTGAGTCATGGGCTCTTGTGAAAAAGTGCTGCTGTGCCGTTAAAGCAGCTTCCAGTTCCTTCAATTTTTCACCGCGTTCATTCCCAGTTAGCTTGTTGTAGTTAGCATGTTTCGTCTGGTAGTGCCTCTTGATATTGAATTCCTTGAAAACAGCCACAATCTCTTGGCAAATTAGGCAGACACAGTTGTTTCATATTTCAGTGAAAAAATACTCCAATTTCCACTTGTCCTGGAAGCAGCGGCCCTCGCTGTCAACTTTCCTTTTTTTAGTTACAGTTGCCATTTTAGAAATGGGCACAGAAGCCTTGTGTCACAAGGGTCACGCGGCGAGAGTGCTGACTTAGGTCTGCTGCCATCTTCTGGTGAAATATAACCACCAGCCTTGAAGGAGCAGGAGGCAGCAGGGGACAGCTGCGGGAACCACTGTGCAGTGAAGGGAAAAACGCAGGCCGGCGGGGATGAGTGACAGGCTGAGCCGGTGGGGAGAAGAGGCTGCGGGTTGCTCGAAATTTGAAAACGGGCCGCAATTGGCCCCCGGGCCGGACTTTGGACATGCCTGCACTAGACTGTCATTTAGACTTTCCACTAGACTTCATTATTTAACAGCCGGGAGACTAATCCTGACACACAACAGCAAAGTTATTGCTGTCCCTGCTCATATATGAGGCCCAATGAGGTGGAAATGCATTTTACATTCAAGGAAAGATATGCTGATTGGTGGAAGAAAAAAGTGGAGAAATAGGCAAGTGATAGTAGGTGGAAATTAACACAAAGACAGGTAGACTTTGTAAAGGCAGGGGGGATGAAAATAAAATACTGATTTATTATTGACAAAGTTACTGAATATGTGATTCATACAGAAGATACAAGGTACTGAGCTCTTTTCTTGAAATAGATGGAGGCTGCTTGGGAAAGCCACAATTTGAAATTCATAGTCAAGGAACAGTTTGAAATGGGTGACTTACCGAAACAAAAATTGTCTATTCAGGTTAGATACATCAATAGTGTCCATGTCAACAACATGGATTTGTCTAAAACCAGACAATGCCTGTATAGGTAAAGAAATCAAGGTTACAAAAATGGAACAGTATTTTCATTATCAGAACAGTTTTGATGACCTTCCTGCCTAGGCAAAGTACAAATATTTTGAAAGTTTTCAACAGAACAAATTATTCTGTGCTTTAATTGGTAAATATAACTGGATTCTACTTGTGTTATAGAAGAAAAGGAACAGCAGAGGTACAACAGCCAGAACCAGGTCACTATTTCTCTGACGCATAACTTTCGCAGAAAATGCCTCACAGGCTAGTTAAGGCACTTTAGGAAATACTTTGCCTAGGCCTTTCCTACAGATGACATAAATGAAAAAAACTCACCAAATAACACTACCAAAGCTTTCCATTTTTTCCAAAACTGATGCTACAATTTGTTTCATATGATGCTGCATAAACTAACAAATGGCATACATGATCCTAATTTAAGTATTCCATGATCCTAATTATTAATTGTTGCTTCTTACATAAGTGTTACTTAAGTAAGAAGTAACAATTTGATGCTAACTAACTTTCCACAGTGCAGATATGCTGCCAAGAAACCCAAACAAGCAATGAAGTTACTTGAAACTCTCAGCATTATGAAATGTTGAAATCTCAGTCAAGTCCCAGAACCATATATATTTAGGCTGCACTCCAATGGGGATGCTGAACAGCCATTCTATGCAGGATTAGAGAAGTGCTGCAGTGACCTGTCACCATCTCCTCCTGATCCGCAGGTCAGATATATGGCTGATTTTGGCTGTCTAGTTGTGGCACTTCAGTCAGGAAGCAAAGGTGGCTGGAGCTCCACTGGGATAAGAGCTATTCATTTCTCCTTCCCACCCCTCCCTCTTGTCCTCTTTACCCCTTCTCTGAGGTCACTCACATCACCTTGAAGCAGCATGCAGACAAGTCTTTCTACATCAGCTACAATGGGAGAGGATCCCAGTGCAGATCCCCAGTTCCAAGTTCAGAACTTTTTTCTGACCTATGACCCAGGAATCTGAGGAATCCTGTGGCCCTTTAACTGCTCTCTAGGGGCCATATGATTGTTCAGGCCAAAGCCCAGCTGATTTCAACAGTTATTTTAAGATGCCTCAGTGTAGTCCCTGTTGGCAATAAATCCTGCAGCTAAATATAATGGATGTACTTCTTTCAGGCTGTAGTCCACAGGAAGAACTACAGAATTCTTACAGTGACTATGTTTTTCACTATGAGAGTGAGCACACATGGGCAGAAAATGGAAAACATTTCTCATCACTGCTGCTAGCAATTTTAATGGTATTTCCAAAAAGTGATTATTACCTGAACATTTCATTTGTAAAGTCATATTATATTCTCATCATTCAAATTTCTCTCTAGATTTGAATTTCCTGGAAATTAGTTGATTTCATTTGTACAGCAGAACTGTTTGGTGTATTAGAAATCTGCAGATGTTCTTTTTTATTTCAAACTTTCTTTAGAGAAATACACTAGTTACTAGGTTACTAGTTTTATTTCTCATCTTTATTTTTTATTTCAAGTTACCAATGCACATAAAGCATATATGTGCTGATCAAAGGAAGAAGAAGAAGAAGAAGAAGAAGAAGAAGAAGAAGAAGAAGAAGAAGACGACGACAAATCTGATAGTGTGAACTAATCACAATGAAAAACACAAAAATATTTTGCAGTGTTTCAATTCATGTGCATATGTACATGGGCACCTAGAATGAGACCAACTGAAAATTTAATCTGGCTAAGCATATGTCAGCCCCAAAATGTATTTCAGAAATTCTACAAGTTAGTCCAGTAGAATGGGAGAATGGAGCAAATTGCAGAAAGGGGCAAGCCACAGAACAATCACCAAACAGAACAGGTGGCATTCACTGGTGTTAGTAGTAATGTAAAAGGCCAATGACAGACAAGGAAAAAAGCCAGATCCTACTCATCACAGACAAGAACAGGAAGGCTGACAACTGGAAAGAATGCTGTACTCCATTTTATTTTGTGTTGTTTTTATTGTAAAACTGTCCAGAGATGCTTGTAGTGGACAGCATATAAAAGCTTTAAATAAATAAACACTGCCAGAGACAATTAAGTGCTCTAAAAGAGGCACTTCAGTAGATTTCCAAACATTTCAGACTTCAACATCCACAAGTCCCTACCAGCATGATCAATGGCCAGGGAAGCTGGGAATTTAAGTCCAAAACATCTGGAGGGCTACTGTCTGCCTGCCCCTGCTCTAGAAAAGCCAGGAGTATTGTGGTTCCTGAAATATGAACAAATTTATTATGACATACTTTTCTAGTCTTTAAGTTGCCAAAATACCCTTCAGAGACATTGCTGCAACAAACTAACACCCCTGGAAATTATTGTGTTGTACATTTCCTAAACAGCAAGTGAGATTCAGCAGTCCTGCGAAAACTCAGCTAACAAGCTAAAGGGCAGAGATGTAGCCTCATGTAAGTGAATCAAAGACAGAAAAAGATAGTGCAACAAAATATCTTAGAAGTCAGGTATTTCTCAGAAACCATTTATGCCTCTTTGGGATGTTTCTCATGCAACCTAAGAACTGAAGTACATATAGACTGTTAGCTTTAAAGACTATCAGTGCTGCCATATATTTACCTATTCTTCTCTTCTAAGTGGGAGAAATTCATTAATCTGAAAACATTATGTACTATGGAGTTTGAGAATCAAGAGAGAATCAAGTTAATGAAAAGCAAGTACAATTCTACTAGTGCCAAGAGGGCTTCCAGGAATTCTCTAGGACATGAGGTGGGGTCTGTACCTGGATAGGGAAATGGAAAGAATTCTGCACAGCTTTCAAATACAAGCAGAAGCACCTTTCAGTTTATACTGATCCGAAAGCAAATATTCCTTTGAGAACACAAGAGTAGGAGATCTCACATGTAAGAGTCATACAGATGTTTTATACTGAACAGTACAAATGCAAGTATAAAACGTAATCCATTCTTCCCTAATTACCTGCCAACTAATTCAGAGTAGCAGTGGGAAAGCACACAATTGCTCGCATGAACAGAATGCTTCTATTATTTAGTACACATTCAGGTTTTGGTTCATCAGCAGTCACGTTTCTGTTTATATGCATACAACTTCTAAAAGAAACCCCTGTAAATTATCATGGTCTCCACTTTTCTATCATTTTTTCACATGTGTCACCATTCCCTCTTGGCAGCTGCCACATACAAGTAACAAAATTGCATTTTCCCTCTGTAACTGAAGGCACAATCCTATGCATCCATACACAGGAAAAGGGGCCTATAACTTCCAGCATGCTCAAGCTAACCTGGCTGTATGGCTGGGGCATGCTAAGAGATGCAGGCATTTTTCCCTATTTACACATGCATAGGATTGCACTCATGCAACATGTATAATCAAGCCTTCTCCAACTTCATCTCCTCTAAATGTGTTGGACAATCCCCACACCCCACCATCACCTGCAGATTACACAAATGCAACACATCTGGAGGGCAATAGGCTGGAGCAAAATGACTTAAAAGACTGGGGGTATACCTGTGAAGTAGTAAAGCCAAGACAGCCTTCTACATTTTGTGCTTACAAACTAATGCAAGAATTTGTGCATCAGTGCAAGAGATATTCAAGGATTAGCTATGAAATTAGTATCTGCCTTAATGGGACGGATCCAATTTTTTAAAAATCCTCCAGTAGTATTTGGTGCCTATCATTAAGAACAATCTGTTGACTTTACTTTTGGACCTGACTTTTTCTTTTTCCACTCAAATGGCAACAACACATTTAATAAAAAATGTAAGTATTACAAATGTACTGGGTGTGTTTCTGAACTGGTTGCATAAAGAATACTTAGGATTTTGTATTTTTATAGGTCTGATATGACTGCAGAATTGGTACTAAGCCTGTAATGTACTGTATACAGCTCTGTATGTCAATCTCTGGGTAACTTGCTACGATCTAGTTGCTAGAACAAATTGTTAACGAGACTTTATTTACAAGGTTATCAAATCACATAACTCTTCCAACTGATTATGCATAGCAGAACACCAGGCATAATGAATAGCTTCACACTGAACAGGGCAAGCTATCAAGGAATAAAAATAAAACTGTTACCAGATTTTTCAGGAGTTCACATCCTAATCCTCCTGCTCCAATAACTAGAACTTTACACGTGTTTAACAGAAAGTCAAGCGGCTGTAAAGAACCAAGACAAACAGTTTGTTGAAAACAGAACTAACAGTAGATTTTCAATAATAAATTCAAAACACTACATTATTTAAAAACCATGAAAATCAACAGCAAGTTGAATTCATCCGACAGTATAGAGTTTAATTTGATTACTGTAGCTAACCCTGCATTGTCAAGTGGTAATTTTAATTGTTTATACATGTGATTTAACTAATCATAGTAATAATAATAAACTAAAACATATGCAAAAGAAATTAACACCAAAGTGCATATATTCAATAAAGTAGTATTTTTCTGTCAGCCCGAGCTTTTAATCTCTGAAACTAAAATATTATGCTGCAGACAATCTAATGCCCTACAGTTTTTTTTAGGTTATAACTCCCACCAGCTCCACCAGCTTCAGTCAACATGGCCAGTGGGTACTGATTATGGGAGGTGCAGCCTAAAGCACTGGAAGGTACCAGGTTGCCTACCTCTACATGTGCAAACCTATGCACATCCACTTAGTAGTAGAAAGATACTACTGTACACAACTACAGTCTTAATTGAGATTCTGCATTGGAATTAAGGGACTCACAGGTTCATTTTACCCAGAGTTGAAATGGCCTGGTGCAACCAAAAGCTGGCCAAATACAACTAAGGACAACTAGTATACAGAGTTGGCAGGGAGAAGATGAAGGAGTGCCAATCCCATACTGGCCCACCATCTTTTAAGCCAGAATAGCATTAGACCTCCATCAGATCTACAACTAGGCTTATATTAGTAAACTGAGTTGTCTCGTATTTACATCTCAGATAAGCAGTTTTGGCATCATCTTATCAATTTTCATTACCTCATTTACACAAATTCTCAGTGTGGCTAATTATCATAATTTCTTCTTACATAAATGAAATATTCAGCTTTCCTTCTTTCAATATCCACACTATCATTTGTGCACATTTCATTATGCAAGACCTCTTGTCAAGCATATAGAAAATTAGCTGCTTAATTTCGAAAGTTTGAAAAGTCTTGCTTTTATTTCATTGTTCAGTGGCAAACACACAGGATGGGATCACAACAGTTTGCAACACAATACTACAAACATTTGTATTTAAAATAACCGTTTCTCACTTGAGTGCCTGGTTCGAAATCAGGGTGTGTGAAAGGTCCAGATCGCTCGAGGAACTTCTTTACATGGTTCCAGCGACCTTCCCAGTCTCCATTGTCCCCACACCCACCATCAACAGCCATTCTGCACAGAACACAGAAATTCAGCTGCAAAAAACCAGTAGGAGAAACACCACACATACGCACAAAACAGTATCTCTACAGGCTTAGATTTTCCTTTTGTATTGTTGAAATGCAATTATCACAGCAACCACAACGAGCAAAATGTTACTGACCTCATTTTACCCACAGAAAGTCAATTATGAGGTCTACATTGGCTACTTAGCATTATTCCAAATATTTACTGTACACTCTCTATAAAAATTAGTTTATTAAAAATGGTAAGTTATGAAGAGAGGCTGGGAATGGAAAGAATAAACATAGCAGCTGTTCTCATTAAGTATAGCCTGAATGTTTAGGTTTGGGTAAACACTTATGTCAGTATTTGTTCTTTGTCTCTTTTTTAAGACAAGCAAAAACACACTGTTATTTTAAACCTGCAACATTCAACAAGAAGTCACTTTGGGCATGGCTTCTAGAACATCAGTAGGTTGGACAGGAAGCAAAACAAAACTTTAATTAACTTGATATTTTGATGTGATTCTTGAACATAGATGATATACAGCAGATTAGTGTACCACTTTTGACAACAACAGAGGAAATACAACTGTGCCTGATTCCCTTAGCAATTCATTCAGGAAAACCTTGTTTCAGACAAAGTGCTACAACTTGGATGCAACATTTTATTTATTTATTTATTTATTTATTAAAACATTTTTATGCCGCCCCATTTGCCGAAGCCTCGGGGCGGCTTACAACAAATAAAATTCATACTTTTTTAAAATGAAAAAGTTGTGTGCATCCTTGAATGTCAGAATATTATCATTAGTTATATAACTTGCTATATGTTAATAATGCAATTGCATGTAGGCATGCAAACTTTTAACCTGAACTAATGCATAAATAACAGGTTTGAACTGCTAAATTCTGCAAATCTTCTAGATTCTTCAACAGAACTAAATCCAACTATTTGGGGTAGAATCCTATGATTTTTTAGATAAAGTGCTATAACTTTCACCATTCCCCAGCCATCCAGGCTGTACATTTGTTTGCAAGTTAGGCAATTCTGGCAGTTTTAGGACTTTGTTCCTTTCCAAACATTCACAAGATTGTACCCTTAAAAGTTTCGGGTGGGTGCTGCTCTTATACTGTGGTTCTTTTGGGCAAAATCCTGTTAAGGTGATCGTAAGCCACTGAACTCACAGGATTAGACTCATTCTATGCAAGGCAGCAGAAGTTGCAGGTGCAATCCTCAGTTCTCACTCTGTGTGCCCTGGATTTTCACCAGAGAAGCTGTTTTGCTGGTGTAGGGAAAACTTTTCAGGGGACAAGAGAAAGAGGCTGAAGAGGTTCCAGGAACGCTCATGTCCTTGACTATCCAAATGCCCCCTTTTCCCCACTCCAAAGTTGCATTTGCAGCCTTGGAGAGGCAGCTGGCACAGTCCTTTCTGTGCCTGTTCTGAGAAGAACTGGGGATGGGTAATAGATTCCTTACACCCCAGGCTGGAGTGCTGTCTCTCACCTGAGGTCTGGGAATCCAAAATGCGTCATCACACCTCATGACACTGTTTATAAGCCACAGCATTGCTCCTTCAATGTGTCTGTTTTAACAGTAATTTATTGTAGTGAACTTTCTAACTGCTCTCCCCTGGGAACCTGCTGAAATGTGGGGTTTGAATTATGTAAACCTTATCTCTTGTACTCTGAAAAGTCATGTATTTCAAGTACATCTTACAGATTGTGATATCTCTGAAACACAGTACACTATTGTGGAAATATTGCATTTGGCAGTAAACTTAAAATAATTGTTTACGGTATCATGATTTTAAATAGCCAGTGTTTCTAAATACCACAAACAAATCTACAACCTGACCCTATGTGTGTTTACTTGCAAGTAAGATAGGCTTAGGTTAGTGGACCTTACTCCCCCACACTGGGCATGCAAAGGATTGTACCCTCAGGAATTTACCACATTTTTAACCTCATCTCCTAGTCATATTCCTTACACAGTCCTGTTTTACTCTTGCTTTCATTTTTATATAAACAGCTCTTGAATTTGACAATTTATTAACACACACATGCATAACACACTAGTACTTAAACAGGTAAGCCACCTGCAATCTAAACATGCACTATCTGTGACTCACAGGACATGGCAACCTAGGATTTAAGCAAACTTTGGGCAGCCATGCACGGCTGGCAGCAAACAAGATAGTGTCTGCATGAGCCCTCCCCCTGAGTTAAACAACCCTGGGCTATTCCATCCCTTGGTTACTTAACTAAGTGGCAGTCGGGAAGAAACAGTTTGTTTACTCATTTCCACTTCATTACCAACCAAGTCTTCATTAATTATAAACCATTAGTCAACTCAAAAGTCTAATCCTGGAGGAGGCTTATAATACTTTACAAGCTGTCAAACTGAATATACACAGTGTAGATTCCTATTACATATGAGTTAGTCTTCTCAAGAGTTTTATTACTGATTTATCATCATCAGATTCCTTCAAAGATTCTTTCAGCTATAAAAGAGGCAATGAGAATGCTCATTTTTCATTGGTGCAATTCCACTGATCATGGTAAAGCAATGGAATGACACCACCAATGGACAAGGCAGGAGTTTCAGCATGTGTACTGTTAGCTGTCAAGCAACCTCATATACTTCTGTGTGTGAGAAAAAAAAATCCACTTGTTCCATTTTTCCACTGCATGCCCATACTCCCTCTCTCCTCCACAATTTTCTATGAGCCTTGAAGTCTTGCCTAGTGGCAAAACAGGTCGCAAACAAATGAAAAAGGATAAAATATCAACCCAGTAACCAATGAAGAAATAAGACAAGCACATCACTCACAGAGCTTTAAGTGAAATGATGTACTTTCCTGGAGCCTGGATCTTTCTGCACCAAAGCAGAATTTAAAATTTCATTGCCCAGACTGAAAGTCCTCTGGGCTTGGCCAGATCTGAGGCCACTTTATGCCTAATGTTTGCAGTAGCTCAGTTACAGCAACCATTGCCCTTCCACAAAAAAGGGGACAGAGAAGCAAAGTAGAGCACATTTTACATTCCTAAGTGTAAACAGTCAAACATTCTTTTATGTCTACCTTATCCACTAGTAACCATTCAGCATTTTCCTGAATAAGTTACCCTTTTCCCTCTAATCTCAGCAGAATTGTCATTTAATGTTAACATGTTGGAAGGATGATGCTTAGTAAAATGTAAAAGACCTGTGTTTAGACCTGTGTTCAAAATTAAAAGCATTTTTGCACTGATGTGTGTCTACCAGACATGGACCAAACACTGTTTAAAGCAAAAGAATTGGTACCTTTAGAATACACATAAAAGGCACTATCATTCAGGCCTAGTTCCCACTGAAGTGATATGAACTGAATCCAATTCAGACTGCAGATGTAGACTTACATGATTAAATAGTGAGGAATGAGTCGTCCTCTGTCCCCATTCAAAAAGAAAGAAGAAAAACCTGCTTTGTGCATATAATACTACTGGGGAGATTTCTAGGCTTAGTATAACTAGAAGGAACCTATAAAGCTATCAGTGCAATGCCCTGTTCAATACAGGGCTCCAAGTTGGCTGGCTGTCCAATTGCTTCTTGAAAGCCTCCAGTGTGAGAGCCCACAATCTCCCTAGATAATTGGTTCAACTGCCATACTCTTTAACAATCAGAAAGCTTCTCCTGATGTCCAATTGAAATAATGGTTTCTTGTAACTTAAGCCCATTATTTTGTGTCGGTCGCTCTGGGATGATTGAGAAGAGATACTGGCCCTCCTCTGTGTGGCAGCTTTTCAAGAATTTGAAAACTGAGGTCATATCTCCCCTCTTCTCTATATGCAAACTTCAGTACTACAACTGTCCAGCGAGCTTCAGCTTTTGGGCAGTACAGAAATGTAACGAATCAACATCAAGGCACACAAAATCACATGAGCTCTAGCCCAGTCTGAAGTAGTGCAGTGTAGCCCAGACGGGACTACCACCCGAGGGAGAGCGAGCATGTTGGGAATAGAACTTTTGAGAAGTTACGTATCTCCGTTAGTGAATCGCAGCTGATCTAAAACACAGCAGCAGCTGCAGTGATGCTGAAACGCCCCCCGCCCGCTGCAAATGAGCGCTCTCCCCACCTTCTCCCTGGATGCTCAGTTCCTCACGACCCTTCCCCTGCCCACACCCTCGCCTCGTCTCCTCCTCCTCCTTCCTTCCCAGCGCCCCTCCGTCCCTACCCCGCACTGACCCCATCTCTCTCTGCCTCTCTCCCGCTAGCCGCCGCTCCTCTAGCCTCCTTCTTTTCTTCTCCCTATAACGAGAGAGAATAAAAGAAGGGTCAGTCACCGACCGGGTCAGGCTCAAACTCGCGCTCCCGCCACAACTGGGAAGGCGGACGGGGGCAGAGGCGGAGCGGGAGCTCCCCGCCACCCCCCAGGAGCCCCTTCCGGGCAGCGACGGCGGGAAAGGATCTTGCCGGGAAAGAAACGAGCGCGCGGATACTCACGGCTCCTCTCCATCCGCCATAGCCGCTTCCTTGCCCCCACAATGCACCACAACAGGAAACTCTTCGCCGGCCGGGTTCTCAAACCATAGAGTTTCTCCAGGCTGTACTACTATGGTTCCGCTTCTCCTATGGACGGATATGGAGACAGACTTTTTTTTAAAGGAAACGGACCACTTCCCGCTTCCATTTGAGCGCCGCCATATGCTTGTGAGAGACAGATCATTTAAACAACGTAGCATCTTGTGGCCCCTTAAAAAGACTAACCAATTTATTTCTGGCATAAGTGTTCGTTAGATGCAGTGTCCACAAAGGATTATGCCAGAAACACATTAGTCTCTTTAAGCCGCAAGATACTCTGTTGAGCTTTCTGGAAATAGTAACAGAAGAAGGGTTTAGCCAATGTTAACGTAACCCATTCTTCTAATGGGTCTACTGTTAGTAAAGCTCTTGGGTAGAACCCACTGTTTTGGGTTGCAATCCTGTATGCAACATGCCTTAGTAAACGAAGTGGAGGATTCAAGTTAGCACAGGATTTAAGATTTTTCAAAGAACATAACGCAAAACAAAGAAGAGAGGCCTCTATGCACTGGGAATGGTCATAGAGCTCCAGATGTATGGGACTAACTTCTAGCTTTCCTGACCACTGGCCATTCTAGGAGGGGTGCCTGGGAGTTGGAGTCCAAAAACTTTTGATATCTATTTCAGCTTCCCCTGAAGAAGACTGCTGCCAAGAAATTCAAATAACACTTGGAAAGGTAGCAGTGAAGGAAAGTAAAGCTCATTAAGTTTAATGACATTTTACTGGAGATCAAGGCCAAGATCATCCAAACTATTCTATTCCCAATCCCAAGGTATGGGTGTGAAAGCTGAACAGTGAAGAAAAAATTATAGAAAATCGATGTGCCTGAAACATGGTACTGGAGGAGAGCTTTGCAAATACGCTGGAATGACAGAAAGATGAACAGATGGGTCCAAAATCAAACCAAGCCAGAGCTTGAAACTAAAAACCTATGCTGGCCAGACTTACATATGAATCTCTTCTTGCATGGGGGAACTTCAAACATGCGCAGAGTTATGGAGGTACCCTAAACCTCCCCCCCCCACCCTTTTAAGGGCCAAATATTGAAATCCAGGGTTCCAATCCTTTTGAGAAAGTAATTATTTGTAGCTGGTAGTCCATTGTGTGACTATTCAAATTTTCCTTCATTTCACATCTTTTTGTGGTAAGAACAAAAGACAGAAGTGAAGTGAAACATGGGAAGGTTACAAATGGAAGATGAGCACATCTGAACCTATGGCAAATTGTGCAAAGCAACCATATGGGAACACTGCCCAGTCTAGTGCTGTCCTCCTGTCACCACCCAATTTTTATTGGAAACTTGTCCTCTTAATTTGTGACATAGGAGAAAATGCCAGCCTCCACTTAAACAGAAGGAACAGAAGCAGTATAATAGCACCTCTGAATAAAACAGAGCAAATGCACAACTGCTCCCCAAACTATTTACTCAAGACTTTCTCTAAGTGAGGATGGATTTTTCATGATCTCAGTCACTCAGTAATGACATCACTGATCCTGAAGAAACAGGCTGTATAATAACATGACCAATACAGTGGATGGAATGTAGCTTACTTTTTAAAATATACACCAGAAGAAACCAAGTAAATTTATGTGCACTTTCTAAAGTTTATATTCACATTCTGCCCTTTTACCTAAATGAACAAATTGTTTATAATATCATTGTGTACATTCAAAGGAAAGTACTATGATGTCTCATTCCAGAACTTTTGAAATAATAACTTGTACATATTCCCTTCAAGCATACTTTCTTTTTGAGATATTATAGATGTACTTCATAGTTGCTATATAGGTAGCCGAACAATTTTAGAAGACAAAAATAAAGTTTTTGGTGATATTGCAAACATAAAGGTCAGCATTAGATGTAGTTTAGTAACATAAAAGGAAGTTTAGTAAGAAAGAAGTATAAATGAAGCAAGTGTTAAATGGGACTAGGTTATTCTGATTTTAATAAACTTTCCAACTCCCAACATGTTTGATTGGGGATACTGGGAGTTAGGGGCCATTTTTGTCTAAACCTACATAAGCTTCCACCCTTATGTTAATTTAACTGGCAAAACAAAAAATAATGCTTATAGAGCAGGGGTGGCCAAATTGAGGCTCACAAGCCACATGCTCTTACCAATACAAAGCCCTTTAATTTTAGAAGTGTCTATGGAAGTATTGTGAATGAAGATGTATAATCAAACTGTAAGATGCAAAAGTATGAAGAAGAAAACAACTTTAAAGCCAGACTGGAAGAGGCTGCATTCATCTTTAAAGAAGGCAAACCTTTGTGTCTTATCTGCAATATGTCACCCAGCGATTACAAAGCCAGTAGCCTAATTGTAGCAATGTCTGTTTGGTTATAATAGATAATAAATATTTGTTCATCTGTTGCAATTCTCAAACATCTCCCATTTACCAGTTGAGCAAGTCTGGCCACGCCTGGTATCGAGTATGCAAGCCAGCAAGGCAATGAAAATCGTTAAAAAAGCGTAACGGTGTCTTTGTTCTAATATGTCAACTGGGCTCACTGTACGTTTACATGGAGACAATTCAACATCCCTGTCTCCATTTTAACTCCATTATTCCAAGCCCACATATGGCTTATTTCTAAACAAGAAGGTAAAGCTATTTTGTGCATACGGCAGCCGGAGTCAAATGCATTCGAAACCCCTGAATAAACCCCCGAAAGCCCCGAGGCAGCCAATTTTGCAATGCACGTGTCCGACAAGGCCTCACAACTGTGTGGCGAAAGCGGCCGAGTCCATCTTCTGCAGATTTGGTGCGTGGAGGGGCCGATCTCGCAGCCGGTTTTGCGAGCGACGAACCCCTTGCTGGGTCCGCGAGAAAACGGGGGCAGGGGCACAGCTAGGAGGAGCCGAGCCGCCCTTCCATGAGTGCGCTTCGCCCTTCTTTCCGCCGGCGACCATAAATGCAGCCCCAATCAGCGGCCGGGGGCGTCGCTCTTGCGCCCTGACGCGCCGCCGCCGCCGCAGGACTCCGGATGGGAGAGGCGCCATGGACGTGCAAGTGGCGCCGCTGAGATCGTGGGACGACTTCATCCCAGGCCACGATCGCTTCGCTCTGCCGGATATTAAGGACATTTCCAAATGGAACAACAGGGTCGTCAGCAATCTGCTCTACTACCAGACCAACTATCTCGTGGTGGCTGCCACGGTGATCTCCATCGTGGGGTAAGCGTGCCCGCGGCTCCTGCAGAGACGGAGCCGGAGCCGGCCGTAATGCCTCCGTTGTTGCCCAACGCGGGCAGCTCGAGTGAAGCCCGGAATGCAGCGGGCAGGCTAGGCCCTCTGAATGGGGGACTGGCAAAAGATGTCGTCGTGTATCGTGGGAGGGTGGTGACTCCAGGCTCTCTTCTTTCGGGGCGGGGAGGGGGAAGGTAGCTGCTACCCCGTGCGAATCGCCTCCGTTTTAGCTTCTGGTTGCGTGAGATTTCCTTCTAAACGCACATGCACAACCTTGCCTTGGGGATCCGGGGCTTGTGACTGAAGTAGTCAGGCTTGCTGTTTGTTTCAGTACCTTGCTTTAAGATGGAGGGAGTATCACCGTAGAAAGATAGTGCTGTAGCATGTACCAGTAGCCAGTATAAACGCCTTGGAAAGAACAATCCTTAAGTGTGCTTATTGACTCAAACGGAAGGACACGGGTTTTTGCCTAAGCCAACCGAGCGGCTCCTTTATGTGCCTTTTGGCAACTCCAGTGTGACTTGCTAAAAGCAACTACTCCACTTTGTTTTCCTGTTCCAGTAAAAGTCGATTCTCTATATCTTTTTAATGCAGCCTTGAAAACAGAATATTTGAAACTTATTTTAGATTTGAAGAAGAGGCTGTTTGAAGGAAGGTCTTTGTTTGCTCTGTTTCTACAGAAAAGTCTAATCATTTCTGAAGTGTCTTGATATGCCCTGAATATAACTAATATTCTGAGAGTAATAAATAATTGGCTTCCCCAGATGCCACTTGTTTATCAAAATTAGTATCTTCTTTGCTTATGTGTAAGGAATATATTTATAATTTTCTGACCAAGCAAACTATTCAGTTTATTTTTAGGTGAGGTAGCATGGTCAAAAGAGAATTAATGAAATGTGAAGTTCTGGTCTACTAAAACATTAACATTTGTTTTAAAATCCTCTCCCACAGTCATCCCTTCTGTAGCGTGTACCCATTTGCATCATTTTTCTAGGAAAAATGTTTTCCTAGAAGTTCTAAGTTATGTTTGGCCTTAAAGTGTTTATACTGCCCTGAGACATTGTGAAGGGTGGGATATAAATACTTTAAATAAATAAATGTAAATTTTCCCCAGGTGTGTGTCTAGAGTCAGCTTGTGATTTGGAGAGCCTTGATAAATGTAGATTGGCACAACCCCCCCCCCCAAACTTGAAGGGATTTGAGCTTCAGCTGTGACTTCTTTGAATGAGTCATTTTCTTTCACTGCCTCATACAACTTTTTTTAAAAGCTCCTGCTCTCACACTTGGGACATTCCATAGATCACTTTCCATTCCAACAGATATTATGGTTTTACTAAAGGAAAGCAGTGGAAGAGTCAGCCCCTCATTCAAATGACAGGCTTTGAAATTACGCTTTGGAAATGCTCCTAATTCTGCTTGTGACTCAGCAAGTGACCGCTAATTTTACAACATGGCTGCTGCATTCTCAGTTTTGCTTGGATCTGGCCTGTCTGACTCAGTATGCCCAAGACCAACTTCTCATCTTTCTTCCAAAACCACTTGCATCCAGGATGGATTTGATTTAAATCAAATTGATTCAAATCACTAGTCTGTAAGACTAGATTTAAATCATGGTTTTCTACATAATTTGTGTGCATGAGTGCCTTACCTATAAATAGAAGGACTTCATTAAAATATTCCCAAACTGGGTCTCTTTTAATGCCTGCTACCATTATAGGTTTTCTCCTCCAGGGAAAGAATAAAATGATAAACCTTGGGCTATACACAAAAATCCAAAGACCTGTGGGGTATTCTGCTCAAAAGGTTTCACTTTCATTTTTACTGCTTGCCCTGCCCTCCTCACAGGCAGCTTCTTGTGCAGATCTATTCTACTTCAAACAATAATCTTCTATTGAATTTTTTTGAAACCTTGCACTTCAGAGATAAAGGGTTGGTTCTAGGTGTTTAGATTTGCAAAAGAACAATGAGATTAAGGTCTCTTTCTCAATTATGTATTTTATAACATTTTTGCTGTGAAGAAGCATGTGATCTTTGCAGACACAAGTTCACAGTTTTGAGAACCGTAAAGCCAAGTATCTGTGATAATATCTTCTAAATAGAAGAAGTGCCCAATAGTCTTACAGAAACCTCTGGAAGAGCATGGCATTTGAATGGATTGATTAATTAATTGATTAATTAATTAAAACATTTCTATGCCCTCCCATTCGCCAAAGCCTCGGGGCGGCTCACAACATGATGGCATTCATTTACCAAAAAAACAGTGCTATGCATGCTGATGCTACTATACAATTTTCCAGTGCCATAGATCTGATAGTCTTTGGTTTTCCTCACTGTCTTAAGGTCTGATATGTAAAAGCACTGTGGGATAATACTGACATAGAAGTGAACATCCTTCTCAGAATCTAATGTATATAACAGCTTTCTTCTACCAGATACCTTCTAAATGTCCTAGACCAGTGATGGTTAACCTTTTAGAGTGCCCAAACTGCAACCCAAAACCCACTTATTTATTGCAAAGTGCCAACACTGCAATAAAACCTGAATACTGAGGTTTTAGTTTAGAAATACAACACACAGCCAGTCCAAGCAAATATATATATATATCTCCTTGGCGGTGCACTGACCGGCCATGCGAAAGCTCAGACAGGTCACGGCTAATGAGGTGCAGCTCGTGATGTCATCACCTGGTGCCGCTACTCCTTTCCAAGCATGCGCATGGCCCCTGTGTGCGCTGTTATCCAATGCTCGGCTGCTGGGGTGACTTGGCTTGTGTGCCCACTGCGGCACACATGCCATAGGTCCGCCACCACTATCCTAGACTATAACTCCTGTTATCCCCAACAGGATACCTTTATAGATTGTGGATGCTGGGAACTGTAGTCTAACACAACTGGAAGGTGACAGGTGGAGAAAAGCTGTTCCTGTTATTATTACATTGCATTCATGTCCTAACATTTTCCTCTTGTGAGGAACTCAAAAGTAGTTTACATAGCTCACAACAACAGTGAGGTACATTAGGCTGAAAGTTTGTGACTTTCCCAAAGTCACCCATTGAGCTTCAAGGCCAAGTGGCGACTAGAACACAGATCTCCAAAGTCCCCAGTCCAACACACTAATCACCACACTGGCTTTTTTATACTACCCAGATGTAAACAGTTCAAAGAAATTTAAAATGAATACAGTTGGTGGAAACAATTGTGCAGAAAATATGTGAGTTAGAGGAAGTTAATTGGTAAATGTGGAAAATTTTGCAATAAGTCTAAAGTGTGCTGAATATTGATGTGGCAGATGATGATGTCTGAAAAAATGTCATGGTTGGCAGCTAGAGCAACCTAAATTAGCATGAGGCTGCATACAAAAGGCTGGAGAAGTTACTTGTTATTAATTGTTATGAGAACTGGGCTTGGAGGACTAAGGTGTTGAATGAAAGACCAATATTAATAATGCTCTGACATGTATAGCATGATAGTAAATATTACACAAATTCTGCCATACTAATAGCAGAATGAAACCCCTTTACTGATCAGTGCAAATGTTAACAACAAACAATAGGAGCAAAAGTGGCAATTACCACAGAGCTACTCTGTAAAAGTACCACATGTAGTTAATAGCCTTATTTATCCATTGTGCCTTAAAATACCACAAATCCTAGTTTTAGCCATTCTGCATCTGCAGCTATTCGCATTGAGCAGACTTAGCAGCCCAAGGTCTTTTTTAATAGCCATCTCTATCATACTCTTTTTAACTTGACTGAAGGCACCCTCATGCAAACGGCAAAGCTGTCTTCACATCCGGTGCAGATTTGGCTCCTTCACCAGAACAGATGGCTGCGTAACTAATGCTGCTGTGCGTTTCTTCAGATAATTCTTCTACCATGATGTCCCAACTGTACTTAAAATGGCTGCCTGGAATACCCAATATTGTGCATTTTTGTAAATAACTGAAGGCTGGTGAACAGGAATGCTTATTGGAGATGTCGGTGCAATTTTTTTAGGGTTCTGAAAATCTTTCTGTAGCTTCAATAAACATCTCATAGGCATTCCATCTTGTCTATATGCCTGATCTTTACAGTACCCTTCAGTCAATAAGATTGTGCTAAATCCTGCAGTTCCCGCGACTCTCTGTCCATAATGGGGAAATGCAACAAGCTGGGAGAGCCCGTTATCGTTAGTCTGACACGAGCAGGTGGCTGGATTAGCCTCCTTCATGTGGCGTGTCTGCAGTCCTGTGGCCTTGCTCTCTCTCCCCAGTGTCACCTCACATTTTCATCACCGAACGTTAATCAGCGCACTCTGCAGCCCGCTGACAGTAATGCCTGGTTCTGCTTTCTATCTCTATTCCAGGCCTTAGTCAACAAACCGTTCTAGAAATTGTTGCGTTATCTGCAAGCAAACAACTAATCACAATCTAAATACAACCTTTCAAGCCTTGATAGGAGTGCAATAGAGAGAAATCATGGACATGTCATTTTAATTTATTCTTTACATTTTTATTCATACTTACTTTTATATCCTGACTTTTTTCATCTTGCAAGAGGCCTAAGACAGTTTGCAGAGTCCTTATCCTCTCAGTTTTATCCTGTGAGGTAGGTTAGACTGAGAGCAAGTGGAAGGCCAAAGTTATCCAGTGAGTTTCATGGCTGAGTGAAGACCAGAACTGGGATCTCTCAAGTCCCAATGCAGCGTTCTAACCACTATGCTGCACTGCCTTTCAGTTCTGCCTATTGCAGTTAAAGCACCTTCACAACTCAACCAGTGCTGTATCTTCCTGCCATTTCATTTCCCTGAATTAACCTTAACTCTTTAAAAGTAAAGTACTGCTGACATTGGCACCAGTTTACATGAGAATCTCCCGAGTCCCAGTTCTGTACCACACTGGCTCTCTGTTAAGCCAGATTTGGGAATGAAATGTTGGCTATTGTTCTGTTCTGCTGAAGACTCTTGGAAAGTGACTATTCCAGTAGAAAATAGAGTTGTGGTTGTGTTGTT